ATTGTATATTGCAATCGTTGTCCCCTCCTGGAAGGCTCATGCCCGATGGCAGGCTGGGTGGAAAGTCACCTCGTGTCCACACAAGTACAGCTATCACTGTGCAGAATCGCTTACTGCACGTCAAGCGTTCTGAGACCCCTTATTATTCAATTATTCTGACCCCGGGGTTAGAATACTCTGGGGACAAAAGATGATCTCACACGGTATTAGTCCCAGAAGATATCCAGTAAGCTACAGCCCCCTGAGGAACACGTAGAAAGCTGTGCTGACCTGAGAACCCGGAGAACTTGCGTGGGCCTGTCATTGATGGCCCACTGGACACCTCCATCCTAAAAGGAGAGGCCAATGCTGGCTTGGTCTGGCCTGCCGGCTTACGTGGTGACGCTCCCCTCTTCATGAGGAGGTCTGCTCACCCACACGATAACGTGCGCAACGTTAAATAAGCCAAAGCAGCACAACACTTGACAATCGACACTACACGAGACAAACCACCTTGCACGAGACAAACAACACGGCACAAGATTATCGCGACACAAACAACATGACACAAACGCCACCGTGATACTTGACGAACAACACGACGAGAAACAAACACAAGGCATACACCAAATGCGTGCACAATTGCAATATTTTTCAACATCAGTTAGAAATCGTTACACATTTTTTAAAATTCAAGCCGCCCGCGGTGGTTGGTGCGATGGGGGCCGTTGCCTTCGATGCAGCCATTGATGAGTTCCCGCTCGGGGTCCAAGAGCCGCTCGTAGCCTTCCAGGTCGCTCAGCTCCTCGATGCGGCGGGTGGAGGGCCTAGAACGCTCCAGTCTCTCGAAAATGCAGCGCACGTGGTGCCACTCCTTCATCTCGCCGCCGCCGTCGCCAAACGGATTGGCCACGATCTTGCCGATGCGCACCAAGCCCTTGGCGATCTTCTCCTTGCACTTCTTGCAGCCCGCCGTGCCCAGCCTGGCGTAGTCCACACAGTAGCGCTGCTCCGTCATGGCTGCAATGGCGCTGGCAAGGAGGGGAGGGTCTCGGCGGAGGAGGAAGGAGACGGGGCCCCTTTGAAGGAGGAAGACGGAGCGCGTGGATTTAAGGGGCCACGTCAGACGCTGGCTGCCCGTGCGTGGCAGGGGAGGAGGTAGTGCGGTGCACCGCGCCTGGCCGACAGCCCACCGGCCCAGAAGCAGCAGCAGCGGCGACACCGTCGTTGTCCAGAAAGAAGCAAGGGGCATTCACAGCGGCTGAAGGACAAGACGGAACACGACAATGCAGTCAATAATGCTGCACTGGCAAATTCTGCTCCTATGCGAAATGCCGCTGCTATGCTAAATGCTGCGGGTCGCCAATAAGAATTGGTTTTGTTGCCCCAAGGGACTCTGTAATGGGCGTGTTAATGGGTACAGTGTTACCATGTACAGCAGTGGCATAGCGTGGTTGGCATGTTTCCCCGGTGCAAGAAATGAAATGAAAGACTAACTCCCTGTCCAATTTCCCCCAACTCACTTCACATTCCATGCACCTGGACAACCTCCAGCCTGAGGGTTCTCGGTGCAGTTGCACCGCCTACACACTCTACAGCTATGCAACCGGCGGATAGGGACGGGGTTGGACGCAGAGTCTACGAATGGCTGAAGAATTATTTCGCAGAGCGGCAGTGTTTCTCACCACTGTGCCATTGCCGCCGCTTAAGTCCCAAGTTGTCAAGAGCAGAATTTGGTACCAAGGTGGTAAAACTTCCATCATCGGTAATGTTCTATAGATCGCTGGATGAGGACCTACCGTGTAAATGGTCTCTAATCCACGTGGTTCTCTGTGTCTCTCAATGGAATTCTCTTAAACCTAACATGTTAAAAAAAACACGTCAATGTTTGTCTTTAGCCCAAGTCAACCTCCCTACCCTCTGAATAAGGGTATTTACCCGAAACGTTAGCGTATTCGAGTACGCAGACACAAAAAGCAACACTGGGTTCGTCATTACAACAGAAACAGATGCGTTCTGACACCCGACTTTCGTCAATAATCTCTATACTGTATTCGCGTACATAACGCCATGCGGCCAGCAACAAAGAGCACCGTTGCCGCTTTAACAGACACGACTATTACACAATGCGTTTCTTGGAATTGAGCAAAGGTTGCAGCATTGTCGTAAGTAAACGCGATGGGAGCAGAACGAGAGGGAAATATAGAAATACTGCGTGAAGGACGGTAAGCGACGGTCAGTGCCACATCATCAGAAGTAACTCACAGAGCACTGCCACCACCACCACCAACAACTTCTAGATTTGAAGCTTTCGTGACTGCAAGGATTGATACTCTTAGGTTTTTTTGCGGTAGTCACGTAGGTAAAAAATAAAAATGACGGAGACTTGTATTGCCTCCGAAACGTCGTGATTTATTATTTTATTTCTATTATAATTTTTTACCTACGTGAAACGTCGTGATTTATTATTTTATTTCTATTATTATTTCAATTTTTTTTACCTACGTGAAACGTCGTGATGTATTATTTTATTTCTATTATAAACCTAAGAGTACCACCAACACAACCCCATGCAGCACAGATAGGAGCCCCTTAATCCTGGCCGTATCCCATAGAAACCCCCTTCCTCACCCAGAGTTCCCCTATTAAAGCCGAGTGAATAGGCACACACGTGTTAATTTTTGCCTTTAGTCGCTTTAAAAATCGTCAACAGTTTGTATCACTTAACGTGTTTACACAGCCGTGGTGAGTGGCCCCGGTTACACTCTTAACTTCAAAGGATTGTGTCCCCCCTCCTTCAGAAAATTACTTTAAGTACAGTACAGCATTGCAATTGCTCTTAAATCACCATTTACGTTAAAGTTTACATTGTCAAAATAAATAAATAAACGTTTATCGGAGACCCAACACAATCCATTGTTGTACTGTACTCACGTGCTCCCATTGTACTAATGTATGGCCCCCCCTGCACGTGATTTAAGTGGTCAAACAACGCCCTCATCCAGCAGTGGATTGACCAAAGCGTGCAGGCCATCGCTACTACAATTAGCTTCATATCGTTGCATTCGTACCCATTACAATGTTGCTTAGTCGCTTTAGTAAATCCACTGCCTCCAGCAGGGCCGTGAGGGTTGTGCAGCCATACTTCACCCCGCTGGTCTCTTGCGGCTTGAAAGCACAATGGGTACATATACACAAGTACTGCACAACATTTGCCCTGTAAATAAATGCTTTCTTCCCTCCCCCTGCCTGCAGCATGTGGCGAGTTGAAGTGGTTGTTGGTGGTGGTGGGTGGGGGGGGGTCGTCATTTGTATTTTGACCATACTTCACCACGCTGGTCACAAGGCCTTCCGGTCGTGTTCGCGCGCGCTCAGCAGCTTGATCAGGATACAGTTCGACGAGGTGGTGATTGTTCTCGATGGCGACGAGGTGACGATGATTGTGGATACAAAAGATGATAAATAATACGCGTGAGACGAGAGGGGACCCAGTTCCCACCACCGCCGCCACGACAGAGCGGCTACTGCTGCCCGCTCCCACAGGCCCCCGCGCGACGCGCTCCCATTGGCTGGAGAGGGGAGGAGGCGCGCGCTGATTGGCTGTTGGTGGGTGAAGACGCGCGCTGATTGGCTGAGGGGCCGTCACTGGGATGGCTGTGGGCAGTGGCGGCCATTAGTGCCTTCAGTGGAACCCCCTCCACTCTGAGGCCCGTAAAAATAAATAATATTAAAGTAGTTGTAACACGTAGGCTTTTGCGAACGATATCATACAAAATGTTAAAGTAACAACACGACTATTGAGAGCATTAACGTCAATTATGAGGAATTACGATACGTGAATAGTGCTACGTCGTAAAATTATCTGAACAATAAGCAAAATATTACCAATGATAATTCGAATGCCAATTATATTATCAATAATAGTAATTAACAATTTTAACATCAGCAACGGCAATTATAAAACATTAGTAACCGTAATGCTAACAAAATATAAATAACGGCGATAATAAAATGTGTAAATGGCATAGACAATAATCCAAGTACTGTATGTGAATAACATAAATAATAACATGAATAGTATCAGGAATAATTATGTAATATGAATACAATCATATGAAAGGTATCAGCAATAATAAACCCGAATAACAGGAATATCTAACAATGAAAAAAATATGAATCTAATAAAATATTAACAGTGAATCGTAGTATACGAACTATATTTAGTAACTAAGAAAAAATTGGGGGGCATGGTAGTAGCTTGGGAAAGACGCCAACATTGGCGGAACGTTGGTATGTTGCATGTTGGCATGTTCACTTTGAGGGTACCCTGCCAGTTTCACACGTGTCTGCAGTCATGGCATCTTTTTGACTAAAATCCACATTGTTTTTTGGCACATCATTATTTGTAACTCATCTTCATCACAAACCACGTAGTCAGTCGCACCCGTCAACCCATTATCAGTACCTACCTTATTACAGACCAGTTCAGACCTTATTGGTCACCCCGTGCCCTTATAAATCTCAACGTTCATCCTACAAAATCTCATCACAAGGCAGAAACACATGGACAAAACATGTTTTTGCCCATATTGAAACAGCTGTACACTGTATGGACCCGAAAACTCAATTTCCCTGTACAAGAATACGGGTAAAAACGTATGGGTTGACAGGTATCCGTACTGATCTAGCCAAATAGTTTTATGTAACCCTCCGCCACCTGACATGGCCAAATACATTCAATTTGTCATGAGTGCAAGCGTTTAACGTGCCAAATATCGTTTCGCTTCACTGGTAAGTTGAACATATTTCTCACGATTTTCTTATGCTTCTTTATATTTCTTGTCCATCCTATTCTCAACAACTTCGTAAAGCAATTACGCCTCTTATATGAACACATTTCCATGAGCTACTCACAACAAATGCGATTCATAGTTTATTTTGGGATCTTTTAGTCCAAAATAAACCATGAATCACATTGGTCGTAAAAGCCAACGTAGAAAATGAAACGAGTCACACAAATGTGTATTCAAAATCGGTGTATTGTTTTTCTTTAGTATTAAAGCATTATTGCATTGTTTTGCTAAATCGACGTACATTAAAAACAAGGACATTAAAACATGGCAGGATTTAAAGCGTTGCACTGCAGTTGCGTTTCAGATCTCCTAAAACTTAAAACTCCATCGTTGCCGCCCTCCATCGCAGACACAGAGGCCATTTTTTATTCATTAAAAACAATTCTTTTCCAAACTCAAAGCTCGATTCTCTCCATTAATAAAACAAAACTCTCTGTTTTTCAGTCAGCAAGGCAACGGTTAGGAAGAACGACATGATCCAATTTTTTTTCTTTTCGGGCCAACGTGAGGAAGTGCATAAGGCTCAGATACAATCGTGAGATTAAAACTACGCTGATAAAGCTAAAAGTGCCAGGCGGTTCGCCATGTTTAGGGTAAGAGCCAATGTTTAAAAGGCAATTGAGGTTTTCCATAGCTTCAAGTGATTAAGGTTTAAGGGATGGGTGTTAAAGGGTTAGAGGTTAAGGGCTAGACGTTTAGGTGCTACAGATTTGGAGGTGTGCTTATGGGCTAGAGTAAAAATGAATTTGATTGAAGCTTTCGTGACTGCAAGGAATCCATACTCTTTGGTTCTTTCGGTAAAGTCACGTCACTACCTACGTGACTTTACCGAAAGAACCAAAGAGTATAAAAATCAAGTGTTTCTCCCAGGGAGGTGCTGGAAGAACGTGGTTGGTGTTTGACGTATCGTGCTGTGGGTTCGGGGTTAGGACTTGGCCATGCTGGGGTAGCCCCACTGCGTCAGGGGCACGTGAGTTCGCTTGATGGCTTGTGGTGACGTCCAACGGGTGATGTACATGGGGCTCCCGGGCTTGTCATTCGTACCTGCAGTGGGACAAAAGGCAAAGATGCAGCTGACACGGACTAATTTGGATCAAAGTGAAATTTCGATTTAAAGCTTTCGTGACTGCAGGGATTCATCTTCTTGGTTCTTTCGGTAAAGTCACGTAGAAGGGAAGTAAGCCGGCTGCTTGCGTTGTGGCCGAAACGTCGTGAGAATTATTTTATTATGTTTTATTTTTATTATTTTATTACTACCCTTCTATGTGACTTTACCGAAAGAACCAAGAAGTTGGATCAAAGTGCTTTTAGTGAGCACCTATGAAGGCCGGAACAACGCGCGGTGAGGCTGCGCAGTGAGGTTGCATGGCTGCCATGTGTGTCGATGTGGTTGGTTGCTCCTTGCCATGTGTGCCTGTTGCTAGTTGCCACGTCTGCCAATTGGCGAGTTGCGTGGCTGTGGTTAAACGCTGCTTGCCGTGTATGCTTGTTGCTTGTTGCTCGTTGCCATGTGTGCCTGTTGCGAGTTGCCACGTCTGCCAATTGGCGAGTAGCGTGGCTGTGGTTAAACGCTGCTTGCCGTGTATGCTTGTTGCTTGTTGCTCGTTGCCATGTGTGCCTGTTGCGAGTTGCCACGTCTGCCAATTGGCGAGTTGCGTGGCTGTGGTTAAACGCTGCTTGCCGTGTATGCTTGTTGCTTGTTGCTCGTTGCCATGTGTGCCTGTTGCGAGTTGCCACGTCTGCCAATTGGCGAGTTGCGTGGCTGTGATTAAACGCTGCTTGCCGTGTATGCTTGTTGCTTGTTGCTCGTTGCCATGTGTGCCTGTGGCGAGTTGTGCAGTTGTGGCGGGGGGGGGTGCCGGTTGCCGTGTGTAGTTGTGACGGGTCTGCTGGTTGCCGTGTGGACATCAACCAGGTGAAACGAAACAATTGATTTAATATAAAATGAATAGGAGATTCCGTGCACGCGTTCACGTGTTGCTGCTCACCGGAGGAACGGGCTCCCCCGAAGGGTTGCTGTGCCACCACCGACCCCGTGCATTTGTCGTTGATGTAGAAATTCCCGGCCGAGTTCCTGAGAATGGCCGAGGCCTCCGACACCGCCGCCCTGGCAAGCACGTGACAAATTGGCACGCGGCACGCAGCATGTGGCACACAGGGGATGGCACGCAGCAGACGGGGCACGGGGACTGACGCGTGGTACATCGTAGTTGTTTTGCATGAGCTACCCATCCACCCATTATTCCGGATAATCGATCGTTTGCTGTCTTAAGGCAAAGTGATTTCCTGCTCAAATGACCAGAGACGCTGCTCATCTCACGTTTTTCGCCTCGAGCCAGTGGTGATAACTCCCACGTTTCTCAGGCAACTTTGCTTCCTTGCAAAGTGGTACCCATTTTGTTGATCCCGTAGAGATGATGGGCTGAGTATACCCCCCAATCAGGATTTTTTTTATGGAATGAAACCGGCTTGACCAGGAGAAATCCCAGGCAGAAGAGGCGAACATACACACTCCGCAGAGAAATGCGCCCGAGTCGGATATCGAACCCAGGCTCTTCTGGCCGTGAGTCGCGAGTGTTACCACTGCGCCACCGCTCCACCGTTCCCTATCCCTGCGCGTGTCCTCTGCGAGCCTTACTCATCCTACACGGTGGTTTGGCTGCTGCAGCACTTTACTATTAAAATTTCCCTCCCTTTATTAACTAATCCTGTTTCCCTCCCTTTATCACTGCTAATCCTACATAATACACTAGCATAATATGACTTTGAGACCCCCCACCACCTACACATTCCACAAGTAGTGACTAATTCCATATCTGCATTTGTCATCAATATGCTAAATTCCTCTGTTGATATGTAAACTCATTTGTCAAGGCTCTCTCCTCCTCCGACCCAGCTTAAAAATACGCCGCCAAGCTTAGCAGTGTTCATTAGGATGATGTCTTTCCGACAGCTCTGTTCTTCACCTGAGGACGGCTGCTTGCGTTGTGGCCGAAACGTCGTGAGAATTTTATCTTATAATGTAAAATTTTTATTATTTTATTATTTCCCTTCTACGTGACTTTACCGAAAGAACCAAGAACACTTACTCATCCTGTGCGAACACGGCACCCGTGAGCCCGTAGGGAGATGTCTCGTTCACGAGCTGCAGTATCTGCTTGTACTCGTCATCCGGGTACACGTACACCGTCAGCACCGGCCCGAAGATCTCCTGCTCAGGCAGCAACAACAGGCAGACAGCCCGCGGAGAAAGGTCAGGGTAAAATACGGGCTCTCACGAAGATCGTCGCAAGACCAACCGCCTTGTAGAGACTGGGCGGGGGGGGGGCAGAGGTAGGTCATTAACGCCTCTCAAGGCATCGAACGCTCTTCCTTCCACTTGAGCTATTCACTCTTAAATAATGTAGATTGAAAACGAATTTCTTTAGAACAGTTTTTTGTGTTAAATTTGTCCTTCTCCTGCACCTCCAATTAGTTGGTTACATGCAGTGCGAAACAAGCTCAACATACACACATGAATATTATCAAAAACGTATTACCTGTGGCACATCACAGGGAGGGGGATTAGAGTCAAGGACATAATCAATGGAAAAAGACAAAGGAACAGGAAAGGGAAGAGCGGTATAGAAAGCAAAGGATGCTGGGAAGGAAGTCCCCAGGATTAACAAAGAGGGCATGGCTCAAGATGGGGAGCTGTAAGAAAGAGGGAGCACCAGACAGCAGCAAGGGGAGGAGTGGGAATGACCGGGTCAAGATGTCGTGGATGAGAGGGGACAGCAGAGAGGGAAAGGGAAGGAAGGCGCGGGCAGAAGTGAGCTGTTCATAATCAACGTTTTTGGGTGAGATCACGTTATTTATAAATGTATCGTAACCCTCCACCACCCGACACGGCCAATCAGTAAAGGAGTGTCACGTTGACAAAAGACAAATAGTTCACTACTTTAGCCCACCGGTGTGTTGAATAGTGAATCCACAACATTTACAAAATTATTATTTTTTAACCCAAATATGTTTATTATGAAAAATATTGGTCGCGAAAGCCTACGTGTTAAACTGAGAAGTGAGCTGCACAGAGCAGTGTCTGTTTTCACAGTAGGTGGGGAGAGGGGAGGGATTCGGAGTGGGGGTAGTCACATAGAAGTCACGTGACTTATGGGAGGCTTGAGCTGATTTAGTGGTGATCAATTTGGCAGGTTTTCTATCGGGAAATTCCCGAATAGAAACACAACTTTATAACTTTTAATTCGTATCGGATCATCTTTACGAGGGCGATCGTGACTCCACGTTGCAGGCAGACACACAGACAGACGGACAAATGGACATAGTAACGAGATTCACATGTTCCACCTCGTTTGGAAAGCGTTAACAAATCAAAGAAATCGAAGATCAACCAGCGATACCCCCCCCCGCTCTTCCCCCCTGCCATGCCGCACCTCCTCCATGATGCGGTCGTGGGGGTCGGTGGTCACCACAATGGTGGGCTCCACGTAGAATCCCACGCGGTCATCGACGCCCCCGCCGGCCAGCACGCGCAGGCTACCGCCGGCCTTGGCGTGATCCAGGTACCGCTTGATCCGTGCAAACGCCTGGGGCAGGGCAGTGGGAAGGTCATTGTGTCAGGGCAGCACGGGGAATGTGTCAGGACGGCACGGGGAATGTGTCAGGGGGCAGCACGGAGAATGTGTCAGGGCAGCGACGTGCGAATGTGGGCACCCCCAGTGGCATAGCGTGGTTGGCATGAGGTCTGGTTCAACAAATGAAATAATGAGGTGGCCACCCCCTGGCCGATTAGTCACACCACTCCCCCCCCCCCCCCCCCCACTTGGTAGCAGTGATGCCTCGTGACATGTCCACTAGGTGGGGCTGTTGTGAGTGACCTCTGAAAATATGGTGTTCTAATTAAGAAACACCTCGTCGTGCGATTGGCCTTCCCGTGAAAGTGATATAAATGTCTTATCTACCAACGGTAGGCATTTATAAGCAATACGAAACAAAACAACAAAGAGCTCAAATGCTGTCCCCATGACCCTCAACAGTCCACACTACACAACCCCTTTGACACACTATGAGATCTCTTTTACCAGTGGCAAAATATAGTAGTAGGTTTTTACCCTTCTAAACTGGTACAAAACTGACACCTTTATTCAAGGCATCATGTTTGCAATAACCACAACACAAGTAGTCAAAAAAGCAAACAAAAAGAAGCAACTCTGATAATGATAATGATATGCACTGTCCTTGAAGTTGATTGGTCCACACCCGAGACGGCTTTCTTTAGAGCCTAGTCCCCATTGGTGTTGGACCAGATGACACCAGAAGGCGTACAACTCAAACACAGTGCAATATTGACACTGCCAAAAGCCGAAAGAACAATTATAGAGCAGCTGACACGACTCAACAAATTAGTCAAGGCAACCAAGATACCGCATACTGTAGAATAACAGCCACATAGCGTCGTACACCTACCTACACAAAAAGCTTTGATCTGTCTTCACTGGCGACATTAATATAATGTTCAAAGCCCTACTATTTACTTCACTTTTCATTAGAGCTTGTTTCCTTGTGGTCACTGTTTGTCTCACTGTTATCTGTGGCAACTGTGACATCACTTGTTTACTCCTAGAGCGTGTAGGCCGTGACCTGCTATATTTTCACAGTGCAACCTAGTGTTGTGACATAGTAATTGCAGCCATGGGCTCTTTTTTCACCGCCCTGAGTGGGTCTCAAACGGCGTGGCAAAAATGCGACGCTAATCGCAATGAATGAAGGGAAATCTCTCGCTCGGACTCCTTCACAGCCGCCCCGAGACCTCCCCGAGGCACAAATCAGACTGTGGTGTTGCAGCGGTTTCTAATATGAACTTAAAATGTTATCTTCATTAGGCCATTCACGTTCAAAGAATCAGATAAAAAAACACAACAAAAATATTTTCGAAAAGTATTTTTACTCGAAAAATAATTTCTCATCTCCAGCTGCTTGGTGGGACGGCGCCCCAAGGCCCCCTAGTGAACGAACCGCGCCTACTTGTGAGCCCAGAGCTGGGTCCCTACATCCGATGGGCGCTGGTGCAATTGCACCGCCTGCACACTCGATAGCTACACTGTGGACTGCTTCGCTCGAGGCTAAGCGGTTACGCACCTTGTCATCGATGACGGCCGAGAAAAACGTCTCAAAGTCCTCCACCGGCTTGAAGCAGGAGACACAAAGACACGCACACACGCACGTTGAACGTTGACACATGGCGGTGGCGACGCTGCACCTGGCTGCCTGCAATCCAGCACTGTGGAGGCAGCAACGAGGGTTGGTGGATCACCGCACACACTGATGTTGTTGTGAAACTCCCTTCCCGTGGGCGTGATGGATGTGCTTTATCATGGCTCGCCAGGAGAAAGCGGAACAAGTGGACTAATCTCAATCTCGATTTAAAGCTTTCGTGACTGCTGGGATTCATCTTCTTGGTTCTTTCGGTAAAGTCACGTAGAAGGGAAATAATAAAATAATAAAAATAAAACATAATAAAATAATTCTCACGACGTTTCGGCCACAACGCAAGCAGCCGTCCTCAGGTGAAGACCATGTCTGTCGGGGAGACAGCGTTGTGGCCGAAACGTCCTGAGAATTATTTTATTATGTTTTATTTTTATTATTTTATTATTTCCCTTCTACGTGACTTTACCGAAAGAACCAAGAAGATAATCTCCATCTCTTTCCATTTGTACGGGGATAAAAGGTTACCCCCCTCGCATGTATGTATTTTCTCCGGGAGCTCTGGTTTCCTTGCCGTCCATAAACAACTCATACATTCTACACTATGGGGACCTCATTTGCCAGTAAAAATATGATAATTGGTTCTTTACCCTTCTATCTGGCAACTAAACTAAACAAAAAAAAGGTGTCAGTTTAGTTGCCAGATAGAAGGGTAAAGAACCAATTATCAACTCATACATTGGCTGAAAACATCTTTAAAAAACCAATGTAGCGGTAGGACCCTCCTGAAAAGTCCTGGAATTTCCGGGTTAAATAAAAAATAATAATAATTTTACAAACCTGGCAGAGTGACGCCATCACAACCCAGCGTGCCGCACACGAACGCTCAACACACACTGCCTGCGCACGTACGTTCCCCACTTCATAAGGTGCACGTGTCTCCGTATGCGTGGCGCATATACGTGACGATGATTTGAACCGGTTCTCGGCCTTCCCTCGGGTCGATTCAGACTGAAATACTCGAGTACCTGTTACGACGTGTAAAAAAACACATCGCCACTGACGGGAAACAAACGTGGCCGGGCGGGGCGGGGCGCTGGCCGCCCTCCTATAGGGTTTGTACGTACGTTGCCTACTTTGATCCACTTGTGGGCCTCCAGGAGGCCGGCCTCCACCTGTGGCCAGAGCGACGCGGCGATGTACGCTCGTGAGCACGCCGAGCATTTCTGCCCGCCGTATTCGAAGGCGGCGCGCAACGTTCCCGCCACCACTGATTTCACGTCCGCCGACGGGTGAACCACGTGGAAGTTCTTGCCGCCGCACTCTGCAAAACGGGACGAGGAGACGCGCATACGGGGAGACACGTGGCGCGCATCCCGGTTTACGCGGGGAAAAACCTTTTTTGACAATCTTCGACGGATTTTACGATCGCGCGTGCGGGGAGCTGAATTATGACACGAACGATAGCTGCGGTGGTGCAAGATGGACGACGATGATGATGATGATGACGGTGACGACGCACGTCATCGAAGGGCGTGCCCTGCCAAACCAAGCGTGGCGGCGATTCTGAGGATGACGCCGCTGCGGTCTGCAAACGATGAAGCTGCTGCCTGGCTCGGCGCAAACGTGGAACGCTTCACCGTGACCTGACAAGTGCGCGCTCCACCGCCCCGCGACGACGCGACCCAACGCGCTCCACCGCCCCGCGACCTGACGCCACGCCGCGTCGTCCATTACCGCCGGCGAGCTTGGGGAACGTGCGGTAGACGTCCAGGTTGTCGGCCACCTGCTTCCATAGCCGCTTGAACGTGCTGCATGTGAGAGGGACGAGAGAGCGGGAACACGGAAATTGGCATTCGCTCGACAGTCCCAGTTGAGTCCTGTACTGCAAGGTACGGTACATGAGGAGGCGGTGAGGTCACACCATGCCCGGCCACCTTTGTCTCCCGAGTGCTAAGTACTAATTTAAGACTGAGTCGACCCAAGGGAGGCCCAGGACCGAATCAGATATTCGCCAGCATTATTCATCGTGAGCGGGAATCGAACCCGGATCGCCGCATTCATAGTTCAGCGCGCTAACCGCAGCACGCTGACCGCTCTCCACAAAGACGCGCGCACGCACACGCACGAAGCACTCACGGCACGCTGCCGGTGAAGTTGATGCCAGCGAGGTGCGGCGACGCGGTGACGCTGTCCCCGAACGTGGGGCCGTCGGCCGGCACGAATTGGATGACGTTGGGCGGGAGGCCGCTCTCCAGCAGCGTGCGGTAGATCACCCAACTGGCGCTCAGCGCTGTGTCGCTCGGTTTCCACAAAACCACGTTACCCTGGGGGGAGGGGGGGCAGGTGGGGGGGGGGCGGATGGGAAAAGGGGGGTAGGAGAGGGGGGAGACACGGAATGTGAGGTCACGGGCAAGTGACACGGCACGAAGGGCTCGGTTTGTTATTTAAGGACTGCGTGTTGGGTTACTCTTAGTGCTACAGCTAAGGTTAAGCACTCGTGCTGGGGTTAGCATTAGGATTAGTGGTGAGTTACGATTATGGCTTGAGTTAGGCTTGCAGCTAGTGCTCGGGTTAGCATTATAACTAGGCTTAGCATGAGTGCTGGGGTTTGAATTGGATTGCTAGGGTTAGGATTGGGGCTAGGGCTGAGGTTAGCCTGAGTGCTGGGTTAGGCTCACGGCTAGGAACAGGCCGAGGGCTCGGCAAGGAGTAAGGAGGGGGTCTCACCATCAAAGCCGGCGTTCCCGCCAGGTTCCCCCCGATCGCCGTGAAGTTGAACGGAGAAACGGCCGCCACGAACCCCTGGAGCACAACCCACACGGCAAGCACGTCTCTTACCCTTCCGCCGCACCTCCGATTACCACGGTTGGTGACGTACGGTGCGAAAGAAGTTCAACATACATACATGACAATTACACAAGTGATGATAACAAGGACACTTATGATGACGACGACGACGATGATGACGATCATCATCATGATTATGGGGCGGGGGATGGGAATGGGTGATGGGGGGCGGGTGAAGGATGGTGGGGGAGTGTGGGGGGTGAGTGATGGGGGTTAGGGGAAGGTGTGAGGTGGGGAGTGATGGGGTTGGAGAATGGTGGAGTGGAGGGGTGAACGGGGGATGGCGGGAGGAGGGGAATGAGTTAGAGATGGTGGCGTCGAGGGGTGTCGGGCGATGGGGGGGAAATTGTTGGGAAATTAGTGATGGGGGGAAGGGGCAGGGGGGGCAGGAAGGTCACCTCGAGCCCGCGGTAGCTGAGCGAGTTGGTGCTCTCCGCGGTGCTGAGAGGCTGCTGGTGCTGCAGCTCCAGCGCGTATTTGGCGTTGAAGCGGAAGAAGTCGACGAGTTCCGCTGCCGCGTCGATCTCCGCCTGGATCGCCGTCTTCCCCTGCAGACGCACGGCGCCCACTCGGGTCCCAAACCCGGGGACTTGGGGACCAACTCGGGGTCTCGGGGATAGAAATCCGGGGTCTCAGGGACCAACCCGTGGACTTGGGGACCAACCCGGGGTCTCGGGAAACAACCCGGGGACTCAGGGACCAATCTGGGCACCAACCCGGGGATCGACTCGGGGCTTTGGGGACAACCCAGGAACTCGGGGACCAACCCAGGAACTCGGGGACTAAACCGGGGACCAACCCCGGGACCAACCCAGGGACTCAGGGCCCAGCCTGGGGACCAACTCGGGGCATTGGGGACCAACCCAGGAACTCGGGGACCAACCCTGGGACCAACCCAGGGACCAACTCGGGGCATTGGGGACCAACCTAGGAACTCGGGGACCAACCCAGGAACTCGGGGACCCACGTTCAGAGCTTCTGCTTTACCTGTCCCACCATCGTCTTGGCCAGGATTTCGGCGCGCTTGGGCCCGCTCAGCAGGTCAGCCGCCTTGAAGAAGACCTGGGCACGGTCCGACACGGGGCGCGCCTCCCACTCGGTCCGCGCCGACATCGCCGCCTCTATCGCCCGCTCAATCAGCTCCTGTCAGCGCCGACGGGGAAGGGGGTAGTGGGGGGGGAGGGCCGGGGGAAGGCAGCGGTCAGCGAACCCTCACACTCCATCGCAACGTTAGCGGTCAAACACGGTTGACGGTTAGGGAAGCCGCGATATAACAATTTTACGAGAAGACCGCGGAGTCGCGGCACTCACCTTGTCGGCGTAGCAGAACTTGGCCACCTTGTGGTAGTGGTTGAACGGCTGGAACGACAGACGGGCAAGCGGGGTTAGCGGCAAGCGAGGGGGCGGGGGGAGACACCTACTACGGGGATTGCAGCCTAGGCCGACGTAAGTTAACTCGAGTCAGGGTGGCTCATTACCATGATCATGAGCCATGCTCTGTCAGCAGCTGGGTGAAGGCCTTCCTACCGAGTGTCGATCTGTGATGTCACATTTCAGGGGGCTGTTCTTGGACACAGGGTGATGTAACTGCTCGCTGCAAGGGTTCCCAACATATTTTAATTCCCCCACCTCCTCCTACCCTACCCGCTTTCAGAATGCGACGCTTTGTAGTATAATTCGGAGGGAAAAAATTTGTGGAACAAATTAGACAAATCAACGACCATCAGTAAAACAAGTGGCACGTGGCTCAGCTGAAGACAGCGAGCGGCTCGCAAACGAAAGGTTGCGAGTTCAGCTCATTGGGAAATAATTCCTCCTCTGGGGTTGACAAAATTGAGTACCACTTTGTGGGAGAGTCAACAGTGGTTGTCCTACGGATAAACTCGCCCCCATCACAGTGATGTGGAATTTCCACCACTGCCTCAAGGGCGTCAATGTTCAATGCTCATTTGAGCAAGGACGTCGCTTTGACCCTTGCCTCGGTCTCCATCCAGGAACGCCTTCACTGAGATACTATTACAAAAATGACATCGCTATTCTGGGCCAGAAGTCGTCAGGCTGCATGAGTGAGATCGCCCACAACCCCAGCTTCCACCCACGGGGCCCCCACGGACCCCCCACGGACCCCCCACAGCCCCCCACGGGCCCCCCACTGTCCTCACGCTGAGCTGGTGGTGCACATCCTTGGTCCACACGTGCTGCCCTCCGACCACGCATGGGATCTCCTCCGTCTTCCCCTTGAGGGCAGCCAGGGCCTAGTGGGGGCAGCACGCAGCGGAAACACAACCAGGGTCGATCACGGCCGTCATTTCCTTTCAGTCAAGCGGCCAGCAACAAGCAGCACTGTTATTATCCCATTCTGATGACGTACGTGTACATCATCAAAATGAAACCAAAAGCACAACTAAAATAAAGTCACTTTATAGGTACCGTGGCTCCCACAGGACTATGCGGGAGGGCGTGTGGCACAGCTTGGCGATAGCTACCATAGAGTGCAGCCGTGTCGCTCCGGCTTCTCTGCGGTCAGCGCTGTTCAAGTGGTAATCGCCAAGAGTTAACACGTTACTTGAATTCAGCAAAGTTATTGTATAAAAAATGACAAAGGATACGATGATGATGATAATGATGGGAGGAGGGAAATCCCAAGTGAAGCAGTGCAAGGAAAGAAGCAGAAAGAGAAGTGATGTGACCTGCAGTGTGGCGAGTGAGTTGTTGTGACCAGCAGTGTGGTAACTGAACACACTGTGGGTAACAGAACCGATAATGGGTAGACGAGCCGATTACTTAATTAATCGGATTACGGCCCAGCTTCTAAGAAACACGGTCCAGAGGCAGGACGACAGCCAGGTCTCGTACCACAGCGTCTATACCCTGCGGCGAAAGTATTTGTTCACCAGAAGAGTGGCGTTCGTTTAATTAACGCAGTCGAGCAATCGCTGACTTCGACAATCGGAGATAGCCCGGCGCTTGGCCGTGATGGTCGCTCACCTTCTGCAGGGCCTGTCTCTCGGGGCTGCCCGGCGCGTACTCCAGGATGGGTTCATTCTGGACGTCCGGCACGGCACAGTGGTGCCCGCGCACCAACCACGATCTGGCACGCACGGACAGAATCAGAATCAGATGATTATTTCCCGAGTAAAGCCAACTGGGTCACGCTGATCGTTTTTCTCAAGTGCAACTCAGCCGGCCGTCAACAGCGGCAGCAGAGAGTTACAAATTACCAGTTGTGCAAGCATTGAAACAAATTATAATTGTTACCTAAAAAGACAATCGAGGAGTGGTAGCGCAGTGGTTACGCAGCAGGGCCAAGTTTGGTCTTCGCTCGCAGCCAACAGTGGCGAACATATGAACCGGTCCTAGGCCTCCCTTGAGTCGACTCGGCTTTAAATGAGTATCATCTCGTGCCGTGTGTAAACAGCAGCGCCGGGGACACAAAGGTGGCTGGAAATTGTGCTAGCCACACTACCCCTCCACTGGGTTAATCGGATTTGCGCCCGTGGTGAACACCGTCACTGGCGTTGGCCAATCGCTGGTCTGTGCAGCAGCAACCTCCTAAAGCAAGAGTCTTCGGGCTCGGAGTGACTTGCCTGGGTGTAAACAAGTGATTATTATTTTTCGTGATTGCATCCGATGGCAATATGTTCAAGTTCAATTATTAGGTATAGCCCTGTGAGCCATTCGGCTCTTGAATCGGGTGCAACCGCAACAAACAAAAAACATGAACAAAAAACATCTTAAAGTGAATATGTGACTAAGTGCAAACAGAAAATCCAAGAAAAGACAGCAAAATATTGCAGAAAAAAACACCGTACACCAACGCTGTGTGCAAAAATCCCAGTGGGATGCAAGTCAAACAACAACAACCATAAGACAACTTAGATTAAGGCCATCAGTCTAACTCTGTACTACAACAAACAAACATGGCCAAACCAATACACTGTTCCGGGGCTAGATCCCAACATGGAGGTCTGCTGGCCGCGAGAGGACTTCAGGAGAGAGTTCGTGCAGTTTTGCTGTTCCTCCTCCTCCGTTGAAGGTGATTCGGGGGATGATGCAACGCAAATATAAACACACACACAGTGTAACTGGCATTGGCCAAAACATGCCCAATTGTGCAAACCCAAACTGAAAATTGGGATGACACGCACAGCAAAATCGCCCCTTACTGTGAAAACCTGGCAGGGCCCTCGTGAAAAAGGGACTTGAGACTCAGTGAGGCTCTTCTGGGTAAAGTAGCACAGTAGTAGACTAATACTAATAAATTATGATTACACCATTTTCACGACGAGATTACTTAATTCGTGGAACCGTGGCACTACGAGTTTGCGCAGCGTTATGAAGGCCTCACGCTGTTGACTATTACACCAGACCAGAGGCAGATTATTGACGGAGTTAATCGCAGACGGTGATGCAACATCTGGAGAACACTCCAGTGGGGTGCGGAATGTGAGGGGGGGGGCTTTAAGCAGAGGGCGCGCCTCCAGGGTGGCACAACTCCATCCACGTGAGTGCAGGATGGTCCAGATGTCTTGTGACCCCCCCCCCCCCAATTAATTGACCCATATTAATTCATTGAAACCCCATAACACTGATGTCCTGATGCTCCAAGAAACAGACTTCTTGGATGCCCTACATACCAGTCGCTACCACTACCAATTGAGCCCAAACATGTTTTTTTGCTTTGCATATTCATTTATGTTTTAAATAAACTTTACATAACAAAATATTACGTTTTAGAGATTTAAATGGAGGTCACTAGACATCTGTGCCACGGGCGGAGTGGTCTCGCACGATCATGCTGGCTCCCACCCAGGTCCTTCAACTCATTCCAGATCCTTCCACAGGCCCCCCAACATTGCACGCATAGCTGCCAACCCACACGCTCTACCCGTGTTCTTGTACAAGGAAAGTGAGATTTCAGGTGCGGGTCTAAATACGGGCGAAAAAAAGTGTTTTTGTCTATTTGTGTTTCTCCCTTGTGATGGGACTTTGCAGGATGAAGGGCACGGGGTGGCCAATAAGGTCTGAGTCGGTCCGTAATAGGGTAGGGCACTGATAAGGGGTTGACAGGTATGTGCACGTAGGTCGCGTTGTTTTGTATATTCTCAGGACAAAGAACAAACTCGAACGCAGCATAAGCAGCTTCACGACAAGACAGAACAGGCCCGTCTCAAACATCGCACCTCCAATCAGCACGGTTGGCTACGTGGGGTGCGAAAGAAGTTCAACATACGTGTACACTTTAACACGTAGGCTTTCGTGACCAATATTATTCATAATAAACGTTTTTGGGTGAGATCGCGTTATTTATAAATGTGTCGTAACCCTCCACCACCCGACACGGCCAATCAGTAAAAAAAGTGTCACGTTGACAAAAGACAAAAGAGTTCACTACTTTAGCCCACCGGTGTCTTCACAATATTTGCCTTTTGTCAACGTGACACTTTTTTACTGATTGGCCGTGTCGGGTGGTGGAGGGTTACGACACATTTATAAATAACACGAAATCCTCCACGCAATCTCCTACCTCCCATCTCACTCTACTCCCCTCCACACACTCTCCTACCTCTCCCCTCTCATCTCACTCTACTCCACGCACTCTCCTACCTCTCCCCTCTCATCTCACTCTACTCCCCTCCACGCACTCCCCTACCTCTCCCCTCTCATCTCACTCCACTCCCCTCCACGCACTCTCCTGCCTCTCCCCTCTCATCTCACTCTACTCCCCTCCACGCACTCTCCTACCTCTCCCCTCTCATCTCACTCTACTCCCCTCCACGCACTCTCCTGCCTCTCCCCTCTCATCTCACTCTACTCCCCTCCACGCACTCCCCTACCTCTCCCCTCTCATCTCACTCCACTCCCCTCCACGCACTCTCCTGCCTCTCCCCTCTCATCTCACTCTACTCCCCTCCACGCACTCTCCTACCTCTCCCCTCTCATCTCACTCTACTCCCCTCCACGCACTCTCCTGCCTCTCCCCTCTCATCTCACTCTACTCCCCTCCACGCACTCTCCTGCCTCTCCCCTCTCATCTCACTCTACTCCCCTCCACGCACTCTCCTGCCTCTCCCCTCTCATCTCACTCCACTCCCCTCCACGCACTCTCCTGCCTCTCCCCTCTCATCTCACTCTACTCCCCTCCACGCACTCTCCTGCCTCTCCCCTCTCATCTCACTCTACTCCCCTCCACGCACTCTCATACCTCTCCCCTCTCATCTCACTCTACTCCCCTCCACACTCTCCTACCTCTCCCCTCTCATCTCACTCTACTCCCCTCCACGCACTCTCCTACCTCTCCCCTCTCATCTCACTCTACTCCCCTCCACGCACTCTCCTACCTCTCCCCTCTCATCTCACTCTACTCCCCTCCACGCACTCTCCTACCTCTCCCCTCTCATCTCACTCTACTCCCCTCCACGCACTCTCCTACCTCTCCCCTCTCATCTCACTCTACTCCCCTCCACACACTCTCCTACCTCTCCCCTCTCATCTCACTCTACTCCCCTCCACGCACTCCCCTACCTCTCATCTCACTCTACTCCCCTCCACACACTCTCCTACCTCTCATCTCACTCTACTCCCCTCCACACACTCTCCTACCTCTCATCTCACTCTACTCCCCTCCACACACTCTCCTACCTCTCCCCTCTCATCTCACTCTACTCCCCTCCACGCACTCTCCTACCTCTCCCCTCTCATCTCACTCTACTCCCCTCCACACTCTCCTACCTATCATCTCACATCTCACTCCACTCCCCTCCCCTCACTCCCCTATTCACAGTGTCTTGTTGTCACGCGCCAGCAGAAACTTGTTTAGCAGCTCCGGGGCAAAGCATCTTCTTCATGCCTCCCAGATGACTGACAAAGTGATTCTCTGCTGGCAAAGGATGCTGTTCATAATGGCCGTGTCAGACACACTCAGCCTGCACTTCTAGTGACCTGGGTTCGAACCAGGGTTTCGCTGCACGTGGGTGATTACATCCGCCGGCTGCCTGCGAAACACACCCCAGGGCTCGGGTCCCCATAGGGGGGTCCGGCTCCCCCCCCCCTAAGAGATGAAGCGAGGTTGGCTACGTACGGCGCGAAAGAAGTTAAACATACAGGGAACCTGGCAGTGGCAGGGGTGCAGTGTGATCTCAGCTCCCCGCTATGTATGTGTGTAATGATTGGCCAACTGCCCCTAACATCTCCTATGATGTTTTTTTGTTTCAGGCCACAACACTGCTACTGCCCTGCACCTGCCCATACTGCCCCTACCCCCCACTACCCCCCACTGCCCCATACTTTACCCGCAATGCCCCCCCCCAATCCCCTTGCTCCACGCCAGTGTCCTTTGCCACTCTCCCCTGCCCTCTACACCTCACCACTGCTCCATTACCTCTATCCACTGCCCCCCCACCCACCGCTGCACGGTCCCTACCCCCAACTGCCCCCCACGCTGCCCCGTACCTGGTGGCTGTGGGGCGACAGAGGCGGACGATTGAGTTCATTGCTGCCGCTGCTGCTGCTGAGGGCAGCTGATGCTGGACGAGATCACGATGCCAGGGCTTGCAAGGCGGGGAGGGGTGGCGTCCCATACGCAGACCCTCCACCGCCCACGTGCCGGATTGGTGGAGCTTACGACGCCACGTGTGCGGCCATCTTGGTGCGGGAAGCCCGAGGGCCGCTCACACGGAGCGGATGGACCGCGACATCCCTCGATTTGCCCCGCCCCTGAGTAAGATGGCTGCCAAGGCCCCCCCCCACCCACCGGTGTCGTGACGTCACGAGAATCCCCGACCCTGAGTAAGATGGCTGCCAAGGCCACCCCCACCCACCGGTGTCGTGACGTCACGAGGATCCCCCTCCCCGCCCCTGAGTAAGATGGCTGCCAAGGTTCCCCCCCTCCCCACATGCCGATGGACGAATCACAGACAAGGGGGCGCGAATCAACCGACCAATGGGATTGGGAGGACGTCGCCTGTCACGTGATACCACGCCCCCTCACGAGCTAAAAACAGAACCGGACACAACTAACACAAACAACATGAGCGAGTCAACATCTGACTGGGTATTCAAGCCGATGCGACGCCGCCAATAAAATCGTTAAGACTCCATCGCCGCCGATTTCAAATTACCTGTCCCGACATATGAAGCGCTCCGATTGGTCGCGCCGTGGGTGTGTCCCGATTGCCCAACGGCCAATGGGAGTCGAGGTTGACGTGGTCACGTGGGTGCGCTTGGGGGTTAACGGAGGTCACCGTCCGCGCACATGGGTCATCACCATGTGGTATTGGACGCTATCTGCCGTTCGACCGTGGTGTATCGATATGTAACTTGCTGGATAAGGCAGAAACATTTAAGAGGCGTATACCCCTTCTTCTTGGTCCTTTCGGTAAAGTCACGTAGAAGGGAAATAAAATAATAAAAATAAAACATAATAAATAATTCTCACGTTTCGGTCACAACGCCAGCAGCCGTCCTCACCTGAGGATGGCTGCTTACGTGACTTTACCGAAAGGACCAAGAAGATGAATCCCTGCAGTCACGAAAGCTTTAAATCGAAATTTAGGCGTATACCCGTTTGCTTCAACTGCTGCGCCGGACAAAATATAATAGGCGACGTTTCGGGCAATTCCCCTTCTTTACAGCACATGGAGCGGTCAGAAATGGTGGGATGAATAGATGCACCACCTGTGCTCCCCTGTGTCACCTTAGCATGACGCACGCACACACACCAACAGGTTCACGCCCACTCTCTACATAAAAGTCTTTATTCTCACCGCCGTTAAATGCACAGCAGCAGGAGTCAAAATATCATTAATCCGAACGGGGTTTAAGCCGAGCAAGATGCGCCGTAGCCGAATGTCATTTCGAGCGACCGATCAACACCGCGCGGCATGCGTCGGCGACGACAATCGAGACTCCCGGCTTCAGCGGACACTTCCGACGCGGCCGATGATTTATCGTAGCACAATCGTCACTTGCATCCTTTCTCCACGGGCACATCCAAGCCGAGCCTGACGCCAAGTCCTCGCTGTATACGGGTGGTTGTCCACTGGCTATTTGCCGAGCAGAGCCAGAATGAAAACCGTAATACACCGACCTCACAAGACTGAAGCTGGCTCAGCGGGCCAAGCAGGGCCAGGGGCGGCGGGCATAATAATGCGTTTGTGCGTGCGGCATCAGTACGCCGTCAAAGACGTGTCGTCGCCGCATCATCTACACGCGTTTCGACTCATTCGTTGCAGGCCACGTCGGCGGCACAGCACGGCACGGCTCCTGCAGTTGAAAATAAAAACCTGGCGCCTTCTGAGCCGCGCCAGACTTGTTTGGTACAGCCCCGGCACGGCTCAGTTGTGCAGTGGAAAAAGAGTAAGCAACCGCACTCCGCCCCCCCTTAACCTCCGACCTCTAAACCTTGGCAGGCTTGCCCTTCTTGTTACGGAATTGTTTGGGAGAAGGGAACTTGCCGGGCCCAGGACTGGCCCCGGCTTTTCTGGTCGGCGTTGCCGACTTCTTCCCACCAAATTTACCTCCGGCCTTAACGCCGCCGGGCTTGCCGGTCGCCTTCCCTGTGACCCTGAACGCAGCCTTACCTACCTGAGGAATCCTGGTGGCACTGCCTGCAACCTTTAACGTGGTTTTCCCCACGGCCTTCCCCTTATTATTAGCATTGCCGATGTGTCCTGCAAGCTTGCTGGCGGGCGGCCGTTGAGCGGACTGTCCTTTCGGCTGCCCTCCCTGCTGCCTCGCAGTCTGCCCTTTGTGCCCCCGTCCCGGTCCAGACTGCTGCTGCTGTTTCGGTGCTTGTTTTGGGCCAGGTCGGTTGTCCGTCCCGCCGTTGAGACGTCTTCTCTTGTTCATGTGATTCGTCTTTGCCGAGTGGATCCCATTTTTGGCAGCGGCAGCGGCCGTGGCAGCGGCCTTCTTCGATGCCCCGGCAGAATCGGGCCCCGAGCCAACCTCGTCGTCGTCCTGCTCGTCCATGAAGAGCTCCACATCACGGGCATCTGAAATGATAGTGGAGGAACGGGCAGTGCATAGGCAGTAGCCCAGTAAACATGGAACGTCGAGCCAACGTTGATCCAACAGTGCCAAACACACGCCAACATTGGCTGTGGCTGGCGTTTACCACGCGCAGCGTTATCATCGCGTGCCCTTTGTGACGGTGGAAGTGAGTGCGCGTGTGGTCGGCGGGTTTTTTTTTATTATATATGACAGTCGTGTCAACGCCGCGTCGCGGCCACCCCTCCGTGTAGTGCCCATGAGGGGGCCCTACCTGTGGCGGATTTGGGAATGTCGTTGGAGATTTTCTTGAACTTGGACACGAAGAAGCCGTCCATGTTGTGCGTGTGTGGGTAGAAGCGCCGCGTCAGCTTCAGCGACGGGTGGAAGCGGCGCTCCTTGAAGCTGCGTGCGCGCGGAGACGTACACAGTGATGAGTCACGCGCACACACGTACACACACGTACACAGTGATGAGTCACGCGCACACACGCGCACACACACGCACACAAAAGCGCACACACAAGCGCACACACAAGCGCACACACAAGCACACAAGCTACGCATTGAGACACGCGTGACGAAACGCATAAGCGGACAAGAAACGAATCACGCAATCGGACACGTGCTCAAACGCACGATCAAACAGCCGGGGGGCTCGGGGCCCTCCACACGTACCGCGTGAATCCCTCCTTGCCGAAGTCGAGGCCCGTGGGCACGAGCTTCACGTTGCGCTTGCGCAGCGCGTAGTCCACCACCCACTCGTTCTCCTCCACCTGCTCGCCCCACCACAGACAAAGATCCCCCATATGGCCTTTAATAGACTGTTGAGGCAATTGCTGTTCGCGAGCACCGATGCAGGCCGGAACGGCGCACGAGGCGGTGGGCGGCCAGCGCCACGCCCAGCCGCCTTTGTCTCCCTCGTGGTGATGTTTACTTAGGCACCGCACCAGGTACTCATTTGAAACGGAGTCGACGTCGGGGAGGCCTAGGGCCGGTTCAGATAATTATTACTGGTGTTGGACATAAGCGGGAATCGAACTCGGGTTGCCGGGTTCATAGCAAAGCACGTTAACCACGACACTACCACTCGCCCCACTGCACACACAAGTCCATCAGCGTGAGGCAACGGTGCGGCATGCCCGGCATGCCCTGCGTGCGTGGCGCTGCTCCTGCTGCTGCTGCTGAGTGTGGTGCGAGCGTTGTGCCTCACCGTGACGGAGCAGGTGCAGTAGACAAGGAACCCCCCCGTGGTGGATGCTGCGTCCAGGCAGTCGATGGCCGTGAGCAGCAGCTGCTTCTGCAGGTGAGCGCAGCGCAGGATGTCCTTCTCATCCTGCGCGACCGGCACGTGGGGAGACACGGGGGGGGGGGGGGGAGACACGGGGAGACACGGGGAGACACGCGGAGAGACACGGACAGAGATGCGGGGAGACACAGACAGAGAAGTGGGGAGACACACAGGGAAGACAAGCAATTTAGACCGTTGGACACGGCACACAATGGGGTGGGCGGCCAGCACCACGCCCACATGCACTCAAAAAACATAGAAAGACAGACGTGCATGCTCGTACACACGCGCTCGCACACAACACACGCGCTCGCACACAACACACGCGCTCGCACACGCGCACGCACCTTGCTGGTCTTGACAGATGGGTCCTTGGAGATGATGCCGGTGCCGCTGCAGGGAGCATCGAGCAGCACGCGGTCAAACCCGGTCATCACCTGCACCGCACCGCGGGGGACGGAGAGCGCAGGGTCAGCACGCGGTTGGGGTGAGGGAAGGGTTGTGTGTGAAGGGCGGGTAGGATTGAGGTCGGGTTATGGTAGGGCATGCCTTGGAGTGGAGTTGGGGTACGGAATGAGGATAGGTTTGGAGTTGGGCTGGGTTATCGGTGGAATTAGGGTAGGGTTAGGTTCGGGCAGAGTAGGGGTTGAGGTTAAGCTGGGTTAGAGTCGGGTTAGGCAAAGAGTAGGGTAGGGTTATGGTATGGTTAGGGTATGGTTAGGGTAGGGTTTGGGCTGGAGAACAGTTAAGAGTATGGCATGAGGTTAGGGTTGGGGGTTAGGGCATTGTTTGGGGTGTAGAGCTGGGTACAAATAAAGTTGAGGTGAGGGGAGGGGGGCAGCTATGCCAACGGTGTCACGTGGCTGGCATGGAGGGGCACGCCCTGTAAAATGTATCCCCCCCCCGACCCATCCCCTGCCGCACCCCCCCCCGCCCCTCCCCCTGCCGCCCCCCCCCCCCCCGCCCCCCCCGAGGTCCCACCTTGGCGAGGGTCCGGCCATCGTAGTTGCACACGATGGAGTTGGTGACGCCGAGGCGGTGCAGGTTCCCCACCACACTCTTGAGCCGCTCCGAGTTCACGTCGTTGGCCACGATCGCCCCCGTGTTCCTCATCAGCTGGGCTATGGGGGGTGGGGTGAACAGGGGTAGGAGTAGAGGTGCGACTTATTAGGCGAGAGTCGCAGTCAAAGTGGCTGGGCCCAGAGGCAGTTCGGATTCAAACGCGACGCTCTGGGACTGTACCGAGGGCACTCTCGCGCCATCTAGTGGCTGCACGTGTCAGCTGACCCGACTGGACGCACGCACGACGGTTCGTGGGTGCGTCTAAAACGCCCGCACAGGGAACGCGCGGTCCTCTTGGCAAGCCCCTGGTGACCAGCTCCGGTGACGTGCGGTTAGAACAACCCCCTTGGCCAGGGCTCGTGGTTTTATTGAACAAACAGGAATTGACCACCGGAGTGCCCCGGTCAGCGCGACCTGGGCGGCACGACCTCCCCCACCCCCCCACCGCCCACCCTCCCCCACTCTCCCTACCCGCGTACGAGGTCTTCCCGCCGGGCGCGGCGCACATGTCCAACAGCTTCTCGTTCTCCTGCGGCGCGAGCGCCATGACGGGCAGCAGGCTGGAGGCGCCCTGGAGCATGTAGTGCCCGGCGAGGTACTCCGGGGTGGCGCCTGCACGCCCGCAAATCAAACACAAAGGTGACCCCGATAGCCTTGGCAGGCCGTCGGGACAAGTGCCGCGAGTGAACGGCTACGCGGGCCGGTACGGCGCTTCACGGGGGGTGGGTGGCCAGCAACACGCCGGGCCGCCTTTGTCTCCCCAGTGGCGATATTTACACGTCGCAACCAGGTAAGTAATTCGAGGACGAGTTGACCTCGAGGAAGGCCCAGGACCGGTAAAGATATTCGTCACTGGTGTTGGTGGCCATGAGCAGGAATTAAATTTGAGTAGCTGCGTTTGTAGCGCAGCGTGCTAGCCGCTGCACCACCGTTTTGCCGATCAAAACGCACGCACGTCCACAAGCGTGCACATGAACACACGTACACAGACACGCGCACACGAGTACTGGGCACTTGCACCGGGCGTGGTGGTAGTGGCTATGCAACGCCTGTGATCCTGCGCTTCGGCGGCAAAGGTTGGTGGATTGCACGGACTTCTGTGAAATCGAACCTCCCCAAGCCTGCTGGACCTGCACGGTGCAGTAGCCGGCAGTCGGAAGGACAGCAAGTGGGTTCGTGACTGTGCATCGAATCGATTACGACAAATTTCCGGTCGGAACAAAGTCGCTCTGTATTTTCACTCGAGCCGCGTGCAACTTCCCCCCCCCCCCCCCACTGACCGTGGCCAACGGAGACACGCGGGCAACGGCGCACAGCCACGTTGCACGCGGGCAACAGCGCGCGGGCAACGGCGCACAGCCACGTTGCACGCACGGTGCCTTCCCCCCACCCCCCCTCAGGTTGAACTCGGGGCTGCGAGAGCCACGGGGCGATGCTCACCGACGGGCACCGACGAGTCGAAGATGACGAGGCCGACCTTTGACCACTTTCCCAGGGGGTCGAGGTTCACGCCCCGGTTAATGAGAGCCTGGCGGAGGAGAAAGGGGGAGGGGGGTCGAGTGAGCGACACCAAAAACGGTGTGACGCAGGTGAACGCGATTCCGAGCATTGCGCCGCGCGGGAGTGTGTCACGTCGCACGCGCGTTGTGTTCCACGGGAACGCGATGTGGCTCACGCACGTACGCACGTACGCTCGCGCACACCGCGCGTGTCTCCTTGCGTGTCCGTACCTGAGCCAACTCTCTGCGCCGCGTCTTCAGCGTGTTTGTTCGGATCGTCACGGGCCGGTGCACCTCGTTCGCCTCCAGGAACTCGATGAGCTGAGGGCGACGACAAAAAAAAGTCGTGACGAGGTGAGCGGCGCGCACACATCTCACGTCCACCTCGTAAGGAATTATAATTTGATAATTTCACGTGCTGAATTCAAATATGACAATTAAAACAACTGATTGGCTACTGTTCCCAAGATATACGCTTTTACATTTTACGTATATGTATGTTGTGCAGATAGTAGAGTTTTACTCATAAATTGTAAGGTTAGGTCTTTTCGTGTGTTTATGGTTGCTTTACATGATAACATGTCACCTGTCCTGTTCATGTAACACTTTAAACATCAGCAAAAGGGTTATATAAATAAAATGTATTATGAAACAAAAGGCAAAAAACTATTATGTCTATATAAGTACATAGTTTAGTCCCTATTCAGTGTCTACTCGGGGATTCTTGGCTTGTCTCTTGTATTCATTAAATGGATCATCTCGTGTCACTGTCCAGCAATAGTCTGCAAGCATTGATGGGCTCCATTTGCCCCGATAGCGTTTCTCCATTGTTGCAATGTCCTGGTGAAATCGCTCGCCATGCTCACCGTGGCCAACGGAGACACGCGGGCAATTCACCTTGTTATGAGGTGTGGTTCAGAGGAGGATGGGAGAAAATCTGGGTCATGTGACCTTGATGGTTCAGGACCAGAAGTTTCATCCTCTTCCTCGTCTGACTCAAGTGAGAATGATTCTGGTGCATCAGGAAACGGGAGTCCTTCTCAGTGGGGTACTGGGCGTATAATAGCTGATGGAATGTTTGGATAATGCACAGTCCCCTTTTTTTTCTTTTCCCAACTGGAGGCGCCATGCAGAAGTAACAATTTCTGATATGATCTGTTGGCTCTCTCCAAATCATTGCCACTGCAAAAGGCATCGATTTAATTTTCCTGTTCAACCACTGGCGAAGATGTTTTTTGCACAAGTGTTGCAGCATGTGTGTGGGGCCCACATCTTGTCCTGATCTCCAATTTTCTGGCCAAAATAAAGGTGATAGGCTTCCTTAACCAGTGGTTATACTGCGCTTTTGTGATACAAAAGTCACTTCACCACAAACAAAGCAGAAGTTATCTGCTTTGTTCACACAAGTACGAGGCATCTCTGCTCACTTTGGCTAAGCCGAAGGGAATGGAGTTTCACAGAGACATCTATGTGTGCGGTGCAATCCACCCCAACACAGCGCTCGATCACCACAGACAGCCACCACCACCGCCACCCGACATCGCACAAGTAGATCCCAAACATGACGTCAACGTCGCATCAACAACGTCGCACACCTCGGAGAGGGGGAAGAGTCCGCTGAGGAGGCTCATGAGGAAGTCGTTGTAGCTGTAGTACATGGCGAGGTCACGCTTCAGGAGCTCCAGGTATTCCTCCCGGGTCCTGCCACGCACACGCGTCACAAAGACACATATCACCCATGTAGCCTTTAAACAGACTGAATGGGCAAGTGCTGTTGGCGAGCACCTTTCTCCCCCAGTGCCGATGTAAATTACACACCACGGCAGGTACTCACTTAAGGTCGAGTCAACCTAAGGGAGGAGGCTCAAGACCGGTTCAGATATTTGCCGTCACCGTTATTTGGTCGAGAGCGGGGATCGGAACTCGGGTTGCCGGGTTTGTGTCGCAGTGGAGCGCGAACCGCCGCGCCACCGCTCCCCACAATGAGCCCGCACCCCCCATTTGCACGGTAGGCTAAATGCAGTACCAAAGAAGTTCAACAACACGTATACATACACACGCGTACACACGCGTACACACGCGTAACGTACGCGCTTGCACGAGCAGCGTCGCCCCAAACACGCCGGCGCGGCTCACCTGCCCGGTTCGCGCCGGTTTGTGAAGTCTCCCAGCACCGCCAGGTTGTCCTGCATCCGCTGGTGGATGATCTGCAGGTCGGGCGGCTGAACGGGTGCGGCGCCAGCGTCAAGGAGAGAACCGCAAAACTCCCACCGCCGCGCCAACGACGACGGTGGTGCACGCGTGATAACAGCCCTCTAGTCTATCCACTACTGGGTGAAGGCCTATTCCAGCCCTCTAGGCTGTCCACTACTGACTGGGTGAAGACCTACTCCAGCCCTCTAGTAGGTCCACTACTGTGGGTGGGTGAAGGGACGCGGTGGCCAAGCACCGGTTCGTTCGGACGTCTACTCGTCCACCGATGGTAGCTATGGACGGAAACCGTGCGTTAGCTCGGTCGTGTGGGGCACGGCACCCCGATGCGTTTTCACGCTGCGTACAATCGCCCCTCGTGGTGGCTGGGAAAAATAAATGGCAGATGGCGAGAGAATGAAATCCGATCGACGAAGCTCTGAGCCTGGACTTCAAAAGGGGCACGTAGCCGACAGCACGAATGTCTGGGGGGGGGGGGAAGCGCTTTCGAGCGAGTGGCGGGTGCGTGTGCGTAAAGGATATCTTCCTTCTCGATCTCCTGTCCGCTGGGCAGCACAAAGCGCTCGCTCTCCACGATGTTGGTCTGCAGGTCGTCCTCATCCTCCTGCAGGAGCTTCCTGCACGCGGCACGGACCACGAGCATCGTCCCCACATCGAACACTGATCATGGGAATGGCTGCGATGTTTACCCACCAAACTGATGGGCAGATGAAAAACATCGCTTTTTATCTTGTAAGGGAACTCCCCCCCCCTCCACCCGGGCTTGGGCCCCCAGGTACAGCTTTAGCCCCTTTCCCACCCCTTCCCCCGCACTTCTGATTAGCACAGTTGGCTACGTACGGTCCGAAAGAAGTTCCACATACATACATACACACACCCCGCCCCACCTCTTCTCGTCAGCCCTGCCCAACTGCCCAGCCCCCCCCACCCACGTCTCGCCCTCGCCACCCCCCGTGCCGCCACCTATCTCCCTCCATCAGCCCGGTGACGTCACAAGAGGGGCAGACTCACTTGGCCTTCTCCATTCGACTTCTCTGCTTCTTCGCAGCCTTCTCGATTGGCAGGAGCTGAGGACACAGGGAGAGAGGTCATGACCCCAGCGAAAACAGAACCACCGCTCCAGAGTTCTAAATGTGACCGCACACTCACCCACATCCGACCTCTAACCCCATCACTCAACCACACCCGACCTCTAACGCCATCACTCACCTGACCTCTAACCCATCACACTCACCTGACCTCTAGCCCCATCACTCACCCACACCCCACCTCTAACCCCATCACTCACCCACACCCAACCTCTAACCCCATCACTCACCCACACCCGACCTCTAACCCCATCACTCACCCACACCCAACCTCTAACTCCATCACACTCACCCGACCTCTAACCCCATCACACTCACCTGACCTCTAACCCCATCACTCATCCAAACCTGACCCCTAACCCCCATCTCACTCACCCACACCCAACCTATAACCCCCATCACACTCCCCCACACGTCACCTCTAACCCTATCACACACTCACACCCGGCCTCTAACTGCAACTATACTCACCCACCCAACTAAACTCATCCGTCTAACCACACTACGACCCTTGAACCAAGAGATGTGCAGATACAAACCTCATCATCACCATCCTCGTCACCTTCCCCCTCATCGTCTTCATCATCATCGTCGTCATCATCGGAGCCATCAAAATCAGCGCACAGCCCCTCGCCCCCATTCTCCAGGTCGGACTACGGAGACATTTTAAGAGGCACGCGGCAAATTAACAAATAAAAATAGAAGAAAAACCATGCACACACATGGATTCTCAAGCGCTTTCCATTATTAAAAAATTAACCCGTAAAAACAAAGTTTTTCACTATAAATCTATATGCGTGGCATCGGTTTTATTTTATTATTCATTTCTGTTTTTCTTGAGTAAGAGTTTCATTTTTATCACATTGGTATTTTAAATTAAATATAAGGAAAGTCGTATATAAGGATTATAAGGTTTTCAGTTTTTGTATGATTGTTTATATTGTACATTTTGTTGTTTTTTTGAATAATTTTCTGTGTTTAGGAAAAATATATGATTGTGTTAGTGAAAATTTTTTTTTCCTAAAAAGTGGAACATTTTGGAAACAATTTTTCACGAAAATAAATTCTCACGCACAACGAGTCTGTGTGCAAAATGTCAGCTCGATTGGATCACGGGAAGTGGGTTAAAAAACGACCGAAAGATTTGCACGGTCGTAAGCGCGCAAGTGAACTTAATATAAAGGATTTAAAAAGAGCAAAGGGCCTGCTTTATAGCACATGACGGATGGACCTACAGAGCTAACGCATAAACACTCTAAACTTTGCATGGAATATTAACAGCCGTCACAAACAGGACGTGTGATGCACAAGTGCAGCAGTGGCAGCGGCGGCAGCGGAACGGTTGCCCCGCTTTACCCACGCCAGCCCAGGCGGTTCGCGCAGCTCCCACCCACCTCCTCGTCATCATCGTCGTCATCATCATCGTCGTCATCGAGCCGCTTGCGCTTGGCGGGCGTGAGCCACGCGGCGTTCTCGTCGCTGTATACCTTGGTCCTCTTCACCTCCAGGATGGCGTCTGTGGGGGTGGGCGGGGGGCAGCGGCGCTGAAGAACGTGCGACACTCGTGCGTTGTGCCGTGTCGCTCACCATCTCAACGAGTCACTCACCACCACCACCCCGTTGTGTCTTCTCACGGAGTCACTCACCACCACCACCTCGCCGTGTAGCCCACCTTCTCACCGAGTCACTCACCACCACCTCGTCGTGTCGCCCACCTTCTTACTCTGTCACCCACAACCTCATCGTATCATCCGTAACCTCACCACGTCACCCTTGACTTCATCACACTGCCCGCCACTCGGCCTGCGACCTCATTGCCCGCCACTCTGACTGGGACCTCATCGGTTTATCATCCACCACCCCATCGTGCAGCTCGCCACCTCTTCTCACCCCCCCCCCCTCACCCTCCCACCAATCACAACCTCATTACCCTCATCATCGCGCGACCACACCGAGGCACCCGCGCCACCTTCACCGCAGTGCGTACCGTCTGCCGAGTCGGCCCCCGACAACTCCTCGTCGGAGCCAGCCGCGCCATCGCCCGTGGAGTCGTCGTCCTCGTCATCTTGGGTCACTGGTGGAGAGAGGAAGAGAGAGGGAGAGAGAAGGGAGGAGAGAGAAGAGAAAGGAGAGGAGAGAGAGCCGGGCTCCATTAACTGGGGCCGAGTCATTCCCAACGACGTGAGTGCGGTCAGGCGCGTTGCGTTGGATCATGGTTACGAGCGTTATCGCGTCCTCGCCATGACAAGATTACTCAAGGAGCGGCCCTTTTTCATAGCAAATGAGCATGGATGCAGAAGCCACCGCCGGGGGGGGGGGGGGGGGGGGGGATTTCTCCAGGTCCAAGAAAATCGTGGCGGTGAGATCCGGGGTGGCGATCCGGGGCCCGTGGGGTCACACTCACCTCCAACACTCAGCAGCTGCTTCTTGGGTTTGGAAAATCCAGATTTGTTTTCAACCTTCTGGACCTCCTTGGCAAAACGCTTTGCAGCTCTAAACAAAAGAATCAGACAAAAGATCCCCCCGTATAGCATTAACAGACTGTAGGACCAAATGCTGTTGATGAACACCTATGAAGGTCGTCACGGTACACGGGAGGGTGGGTGGTCAGAACCACACTCAGAGGTACACAAACACGCACACACACATACACGCAAACACGTTTAAACCGGACTCATAATTGAGTTTTGGGTCAGACCGCCGCGTGATAAAAATGCCATTGTGTGTCGTACAACCTCTTCCACCTGACAGGGCCAATTAAAAATAAAGTCCAGTGCATGTGGCATGTCGATGTGCTGTGACAGCAATCGCCAGACGTTAACACTGAAAGACGATTGGACTGTGTGGCTATCGCCGGACCCGTGAGATGGCAACGAAATGGGGAGGGAGGAGTTCATCAAGCAGCAGACAGAACTTTTCCAAGTGCGACCGCGTGATGTGCGTGCCTCACCTCTTCCGCCCGTGACTTGAGAGCTTCACCTCCACACCTGCAAGCAGAGGACAGCGTTACCCACAATCCACCAGTTTCTCACGCCGCCGAGTTACCACCCTGTGCCATCGCTCTCTGGCTTCCCGATTTTCGCTTCCGCTCCAATTCAGCGCCACTCGTTTTGAGTTCAATCTGATGGACTGGAGATCACATTATTATTATTATTCGTACGCTTAATATAACGTGCGCGTCAATGAGTGTAGTTCATTGTGTGCGACACTAAGTGGCAAAGCTCTTGATACGCGGTGGTTTGGCTGCTGCAGCTCTTTACTATTAAAGTTTCCCTCCCTTTATTGCTGCTAATCCTATTTCCCTCCCTTTATCACTGCTAATCCTACATAATATACTAGCACAATATGACTGTGAGACCCCTCACCACCTACACATTCCACAAGTAGTGACTAATCCCATATCTGCATTTGTCATCAATATGCTAAATTCCTCTGTTGATATGTAAACTTCTTTTTGAAGGCTCTCTCCTCCTCCGACCCAGCTTAAAAATACGCTGCCAAGCTTAGCAGTGTTCATTAGGACGCTGTCTTTCCGACAGCCCTGTTCTTCACCTGAGGACGGCTGCTTGCGTTGTGGCCGAAACGTCGTGAGAATTTTATCTTATTATGGTATATTTTTATTATTTTATTATTTCCCTTCTACGTGACTTTACCGAAAGAACCAAGAATATGGCAAAGCTCTGTTTTGGCAGTGGAAAAAACCTGTCGCCTCCTGAGCTGCTGCATCAGACTGACTTGGGACGGCCCCAACGCGGTTCGGTTATAAAGAGGTATCAATGCTTACCCTAATGAGGTGTTCATATGGCGGCCTCAACATCAGTGGCACGGCTCTATCGTCCAGAAATTGTAACAGACTTTGTCTGTGGTGGAATAAATTGGGACCCTTAAAAAACACAGCGGAAACCCCCTCACCCATCCTGCCTTCTGAAGGTGGGAAACCCTCTGCAAGTCACACCCATCGTGACGCGGCTGATAACGCTATCAGGTGACCAAAAGCCCTGCCCGGCACCTCCCGTCCAGCGGCACGTGTGCAGAGGTTAAATTTTGGCCCAAATATTTTTTTTGTATTAGTCGAGTAATCGAAGTGATCGTAATAGAAAAATTGTAAATCCCAGCCCTACACATTTTATATGCACACTGCTACAATTTGAACCAAGCCTCGCCAGACCACGGGAACGGGGGGGGGGGACGGAGTCGAGCGGTCGGCCATGGGAGTCGGGAGATATTGGAACACCTAAATATGTGGGGGGGGGGGGGGGGGTCACGCAGACTCGGGATCGGCGATTTCCCACGGGACGTGGCCACGCGGGGTCACTTGTTACAGCAAAGACGAGTCACACGGCGCGACGAGACACTGGGAAACGTGGAACACGTGGGGCCGAGACCAGGGCCCACCGTGGCCACGCGGAGCCAGAGAGGTCCCTCTCGGCTCCCCTCGTCCGCTACAAATGAGGCCGCCTTATCCGTCCCGTACGAGAGCCGTCCCAGCGCCAGAGTGCGGGGCCTAAGGCCACCAACCTCGCCTGCGTCCACCCCGCGACGTTTCTCACCCGGGTCCTTGCGCAGGGCCCAAGCCACCTCGGTCTCCGCTCCGCGCTGCTTCTTGCTCTTTCTCCCGGGGCCCTTGAGGACCCTCTTGCTGGGGTCGAGACGTCTGCCCATGGCTCCTTAGATGTTGGTCGGACAGGGGGTGTTGGGTGGGGGGCAGTGGGGGGCAGTGGGGGGCAGCAGCAGCAGCGGCAGCCACGGGGCAGCAGGAGCGAGGAGCAGCAGCAGCAGGAGGAGGAGGGGGGACACGTGGAACCACAATTCCTTGCGCGTCTCCCGCTTCCGGATGACGTAGATTGTTAAAGAAGGCCCCCCCAGCGCATTAACACCCACGTGGGTATTTATGTGAAGAACACATTTATATGAGAAGGCGACGTTTCGGGGAATGGCCCGTTTTCGTGGCACGTAAATGAGACGTGGCCGTTCCATTATTTTAGTTTGTGTTGGTTTCCTACAAATGTCGTGCCACGTTTGTGCTTGCACACCAGGGCCAACGCACCATCACCACCACCGCCACATTAATCTGCATAATAAAGGCGTTTGGGTTGATTAAAGTGATTTGGATTCGGACAATACAAATGCACTTTAAAAAATGTTAAAATACTCCGTACAAAAAAAAAGTTGTCGCTTGTAGCGGCTTCCAGTGGCTGGCGTGGGGACAATTTTCAGCATTTGCATGCAAATACATGGGGCTTGAAGCTTTCGTGACTGCAAAGATTCATACTCTTAGGTTGTTTCGGTAAAGTCACGTAGGTAAAAAATAAATAATAGAAATAAATGATAAAAATTATAGAAGAAATAATAGAAATAAAATAAGAAATCTCATTTTTCTATTATTTTATTATTTATTCCAACTTTTTTTTTTACCTACGTGGCTTTACCGAAAAAAAAACTAAGAGTATCAATACATAGGGCTTGATATCGCTGGACACGAGACGATAACAACACAGTTGCACCCTCCTCAACATCGTTGCCAGGGCCTAGAGCTTTGTCGTATCGATCGCGACTAATTGATGATGATTATGTAAATATTGGGGGGTGGGATGTGGGAGGTTCATGAGACCGGAAGAAATGATGGTTCGAGACCGCCTCCTCCCCATGTGCTCTTCCACGACCCCGAGAGGGAGGAAATCGCAGTCGAGGTGGTCCTCTCGGCTCGAATCATCTCCGCGGCGTCTCTCCAACGAGCGGCAGGTTTCTCTCTGACAAATATAAAACCAGAGAGAGCGAGAGAGAAAGAGACAGACACAGAGAGACGGAGAAGAGAGAACGGTGGGTACAAGTCCACGTGGTTCGTGCCGCGCCATGGCGTTGTACGTGGAGGCGATGTCCGTGTTGGAGCGAGCCGAGAAAAAGGAGGGCTCACTCAAGAGCCTCGTCTACCGGAGCAGCTTCAAGGTAGATCGAGTGGGGGGCCCTACCACGACCCCCCCTCTCACCTACTCTCACCTGAACGCCTATCACATTGATAGGGGGTTCAACTTGGGTCACCGGCTCGGGACGAACCCCCTAAACCACCCCCCCCACCCTCCTCCACGTGGATCTCTGTGCGAGTCGTTAGAGAGGCCCAAATACGAACACTTATATGGGACTATCGTTTTAAATAGGAAAAAAATAAAGGGATAATATACCCTTACGTGATAACAAATGTAATGTTAACAACTTCAAAGAGAAATAATAGAAATAAAAAAAATCACAAATATTTTATTATTTTATTTCTATTATTATTTCTATTATTTGTATTCTTTATTTTTTTACCTACGTGACTTTACCGAAAAAACCTAAGGGTATGAATCCTTGCAGTCACGAAAGCTTCAAATCTAGTCTCCACTTGTTCACCATCATTGTCCGGTGGCACATAGCTCGTGGTATTGCTGCAAATTCTCAAAAGTGTTAACATTTTTTTGAGTCGCCCTGTGTTTTATTTCACCAGGTAAGCCCCACTGTGAGCTACAAATGCTCGTTTTGTTCAGAAGCGAACTGGCTATCACAAATGATAGCTCAAGAAAACGGCGTATCATCATCATCATCAACACGTTGAAATGTATAGCAGACACATTACTCCAAACGTGTGATGTTGATTCTAAATGCGGAGTGGAAAGAGAACCGGAGGACCCGGAGAAAAATCCACTGCGACCACTTGGAAAGAGACACCGCAAACTCCATACTCTTTGGTTCTTTCGGTAAAGTCACGTAGGTATAAAATAATAAAGACGTTTCGGGCGCAACACAAGCGTCCGTCATCAGGTGGGAAAGCTGAAAGAACCAAGGAGCATGGATTCCTGCAGTCACGAAAGCTTCAAATCAAGATTGAACCAATTAACCAACAGGCGCCAGGGTCGGGGATCGAACCCATGTCCCTCCTGTACACCAGGCGAGGTCGTTAACATCTCAGAGCCACCGTGGCGCCCTTACAACAACCCAGTAAACATGCCAACGCTGGGACCTTTTGGGCAGGAAGGAAGGCCCCTGGTCGAGACTTAACCCACGGAGTGAGCGGCGGTGGTCGTGGAGAAGCGAACAACTCCGCCGTACGACCGTGGAGACGGAGCGATGAGATCGGAGCGGGCTGGATCGTTGCAGAGATGGCGATTGGGCTGAGAGGAGAGCGGGCTTTCATCAGCAGTGCAGTGCGGGTGTTGTCTTTGTTGACTCCTTGTGCCGATATCCCTGTAAGCACATGGCGGACGCAGTGTTAAGAGGACACAGTGGTATAGCTTACCATTCCTGGTTTATAACAAATACAAATGTATACGCAAAACACTTTCTTCTGTGAATTAACGCGCAAATTTTATTTTATTTTATCCATGGTGCGATTGGTTTTTTCCAGACCAGTGTTAATCCAGCGGCATGAGTTCCACACCAGCGTTGTTTTGTATTACGGAGTCAGTTTAACACCTAGGCCTTCGCGACCAATTACTCATATTGAACGTTTTTGGGTTAGATCGCGTTATTTATAAATGTGTCGTAACACTCCACCCCGACACGGTCCATTCAGGTAAAAAAGTGTCACGTTGACAAAAGACAAATAGTTCACTATGTTGAGTGAATCCACAACATTTATAAACAATGCGATCTAACCCAAAAACGTGTATTATGAGTATTCACTGAGTGTCTGAAGATTTTCAACACCGTGCAAAATTCAGGTGGCCCAGTGGTAGAGCTATCGGATTGCAAGGTGAAGGTCGGGGGGTGGGGAGGTGACTCAGCCCATCATCCCCTCCAGGCTCGATAAACATTAGTACCACTTTGTGGGGGAAATCAACAGTGGGTGTCCTGTGGATAAACTCTACCCCCCTCCCCCCCCCACCATAGGAATGTGGAATGTTCCACCACTGGCTCAGGGCTGTAAGCAGGAGAGAAGCACTAATGCCTCGATGACTTCACGTCGGCTTCACACTGACCTACGTGGTTTGCACGGTTAAGATGGGTCGTGCAGCAGTGGATAGAGCATGGCAGTATTATTGGAACCGGCTGACAGAAGAACAACAGACGCAACACATTAGTCAACACACTGACTGGGGGCCTAAAGGGAAAAGCGTAAAATAGACGACGTTTCGGTCAATGGCCCTTCCTCATATCCCTATCGTCAACTTCTTAATACGGCTGACGTTGAGCAAAAACTATAATTTCACTTTGAGGTGCTCGATGAGCCAGATGGTTGCGTCTGGAGTTGTGGAGTGTGGTGCATCATCGCTGCTGTGACGATGCCTCCTCCTCCTCCTCTGTGTTTGTGAATCGGACCATTGAGTCGTTACACCTTCCGCTGGAGAGTTTTCGTAGTTAAATTTGTCCACATTGAGACCAGAGCGGTAGAGTGGTTAGGAGTTGGAGACAGCACGCAATATATCCATGGTGGGGCGGTGGGGGGAGGTGTTGATACGAATCAAATTATGAAAATGTTTCCTGATTATCAGTTTAATTCCACTCAATGATGCATTGCTGAGCCTAATTCTCATTTCACTAGGATTACAGAAGTTCTCAAGGAATGCAAGGAGCAGAGCTTTCAAACGAACTTGAAATCTTTTTTTTTCATTCCAGAACCCTGCAAGGGGTACGGATGGATATGGAGTAAGTTTTATTTAACTTCTCCGTTTATCCTTGCCGCCCCTTGACCTGACCCTCCTCCCCCCCCCGCCGCTCCCCTCCCCTACGACAGAACGTGAAGCAGCTGTACGCGCTGGTGTGCGGCGTGCTGCGCTACGAGCCGGTGCTGCACCAGCTGCTGGAGTCGAGCCGCCTGCTGCGCTCGGAGAAGCGGCTCGACAGGCAGCTCGCCAAGGTGGGCGCCAGTGCTCTGCAGGGGGGGGGGGGGGCAGAGGGCCTCTCATAGGACACGGGGGGGGACCCGAGGTGTGCTGTGTCTAAGAAGGGGTGGTGGCGGGCGGTGGTGGCTACGCACATGGCCTGTAATATAATCTAGCACTGAAGGCAGCTGAGGGTTGGCGGATCGCGCAAATGTTGCGAAACTCCCTTCCCGTGAGCATCGAGGGGATGCCCATTACCCTGGCTCGCCGGGAGAAGGCGGTACAGCAAAGTGCGGAATAATATCTGTCCCATCTGTATTGGATGGCGTGTTACCCCCTCGCACGTGTGGGTTTACACTGCGGTGCTCCGATTTCCTCCACACATCCATAAACAATTAATCAGTTGGCTGAAACATCTTAATATATATAGCACTGCCAAGCTTGGGCAGTTACTGCTATCGCCGGCTCAATGTCCGGCTGCGGCCTTCCTGCTTCTCTGTTGTTCTTCGGTGATTGTCAGAGATGCAATTTGCATCAACGACAACGACGCCAGTACGTATTAAACCATCGCATTAAACACTATTGAGAGCGTGACGAGCCCTGATCCTTATCGTCTCTCTTCCGGCCGTGGTGGGGCACAGTTGCTGGTGTTTGACCTGCTGCTGGGCCACGGGGTGAAGTGCGGCGGGCGGTGGAAGGTGATGATGAAGCGCCACGCGGCGGAGCTGGGCTCGGCGCTCGCCCGCATGAAGGTCCGTCACGGCGTGAGCACCAACCTGGACCTGCTCACCGCAGTGGGGGGGCGCGCCGCCACCAAAGGTCAGCCTGCTACTGCCCCCCCTACCCTCACTTCCTCCCATACCCCCCACCCCCCGCCCGCCCGCCTCCCCACCCCCTGATTCCCTTCTCCACAATGCGGTACTCACATATTATCGACCCCAGACAGTGGTATGATGGTGCGGAATCAACTTCCCCCTCAACCAGGCTTTGAACTCGCAACCTTTCAAACGATTACGCGTCTCTCGCTTCTACCACCGGGCCAGCGAGATCGCAATTTAGATAATGCCGATTCGGCGCTGGTGAACCTACGCAGTGGTGGATGGGGATCTCTGTCTTTTCTCTCGTTCAGAGATTCTGCTGCCGCGGTACGCGAGGGTGAACACGCTCAAGACGACGGTGGACGACGCGGTCGACTACTTCAAGAGGCAGGGCTTCACCTTCATCGGCGCAGCAGACTGGTGAGGCCGCGACGCGCACGGCCCAACGACGGTGGCCGGCTCTCTATCGGAACCGCTCCTGGGTTGGCCCCCTTCCCCCCCCCCCCACCTTCCCCCCCACCTTCCCCCCCACCTTACCCCCCCCCCCCCACGACTGGCTTTCCATAATCGCATCGATTGACTGGTTGCCCGAAAAACTTGGAGAGAAAGAAAAGCTGTGCTAAAATAATTTGTCCCAGCTCTGGTCTCTTACTCTCTGTCGCGCTCTGTCTCTCGCTGTCTGTGCGCGCAGTGCACAGGCCCTTGATGACCTCAAGGGCAAGAGGTTTGCGCGAGACATCGATGTCCCGGAGGTCCTCGTCTTTCCTCCAAAAACGGACCTCCACGACGACCAGCTCTACAAACTCGGCAACATCATCCTGCAGGACAAGGTGTGCGCTCGCCGAGCCGTGCATCACACACACGTGTGTGCGTCGTGTGTGCGTCATGTGTGTGTGTGTGTGTTCGATGCGTGACTGAGTCTCAGTTCCTCGTGGCACAGGCTGGGTGGCCGTTCAGCCCTTGCTCTGGCTCGAACTCTTAACTCGAAATGGAACCTTGGAGCCGCAGTACCGATCGACTGATAGCTTTCGAGAAAGTCTGCCTGTAAGATAAGACTTGTCGTAACTTGATTACATGACGGAGACAATTGAAGCGTTGAAAAGTTAAGAGAGAGAACCTGGTGGTGGTCGGGCCCACTCGCTCGTCCGTGGATTGTCTCAAAGTATAAGAACGTCAACCGATAGTTGCAGAACGTAAATTAACGGCACAATTAATGTTAACAGCGAATGTAATGAACGTTAATACCGCGAGTACTCACATCGGCCGTGGACCGGATGAAGCGATGATGTCGTCCTTGCTCATGGCCCTCGACCCTCTGCCCCCCACCCATCTCCCCCCCCCTCCACGCCGCAGGCGAGCTGCCTGCCGGCGTTCGTGCTGGCGCCTCCCCCAGGCTCCCAGGTGCTCGACTGCTGTGCCGCCCCCGGGAACAAGACCAGCCATCTTGCCGCCATCATGAAAAACAAGGGGTGGGTGCAGTCCGTCGCGGGTCGAATAAATAAACGCACACAATGGTAGCGTGTAGTTTTTGTTCCCTCTCAGAGTGGCGAGAAGATGAGGATTCGGAGTTACTTGCAACCGGCGGCAATAATCGCCCAAGCTTTGTGGTCTTATATTGGGACCTTTGACCAACTCCATGAATGAGTGAAACTGGAGTGCCCGCCTTTTCTCTCTCCTCTCCCATCTCTCCCTTCGCCTGCCCCTCCATCTCCCTCCCGGCGTCGCTCGCCCCGATCGCCCGCCTGCCCACCCGCCTTGCCCACAGAAAGATCCTGGCGGTGGATCTGTCGGCTGAGCGCGTCGCCACGATGAGCACGCAGCTCCTGCGCGCTGGCGTCTCGTGCCACCGGCTGCAGTGCGCCGACTTCCTCGCTCTCGATCCACACGACCCGAGCTACGCCAGGGTGCAGTACGTGCTGCTGGACCCCTCGTGCAGCGGATCCGGTGAGAGCCCCACCCTCCCATAGACAAAGATAGATGGAATCAAACCCGGAACGACGGCTTCGTAGAGCAGTGCGCTAACCACTGCGTCACCGTTCCCCACACACGCACCGCCATCCCCTACGTCAACAGCAACCGCCGTGTTCACGGGGGCACTCGTGCGTTCGTTTACCGCAACGCGCTGCCGACTTTCCCCTCCCGCATTAAAAACTTCTCCTTAACGGTATCCAGGCCACAGTCTGCGCGACCCACCACCCCCGCCCCACCTCCCCCGTCGTCCTTCCCCGGCCTGAAATCGTTGACCCCGGCGGGCGAGGAATTATTCCACGGCCGGTTTGCCATCGCCCTCCGTCGCGCTTGCAAACTGCGGCCACCACTTTTGTTGAGCTATCATTTGTGATAGCCAGGTAGCTTCTCAAATATAAGTTAATACCTCGGTGGGCTTTACCTGGTAAGATAAAAAAAATAGTTTATTTTTACGTGTATATTTTTAAGTGATTTGTTAACCTTTCCTATCCTTTGCACTGCTGTCGTGTTTTGGTACTGTTTGTTGTAACGTTCTTACCCGCCCCTACTGGACATCTAATAAAATGAGCTTTGTAACTCGTCGGATTCCTCCTCCTGCAGTGTAACTAAATAACTGTGTGCAACCCACGGCTCTTGTTGCACCAGGCATGGTGGGGCGGATGGGCGGAGCGGCGGACCGGGGCGGCGACAGCGGCGGTGGCGGCGTCGACGGCGCTGTTCAGACGGCCAGCTCGCAGGAGCGCCTGCGGGCTCTGAGCGTGTTCCAGGCCCTAGCCCTGCGCCACGCTCTCGGCTTCCCGGCCGCGCTGCGCGTCGTCTACTCCACGTGCTCCGTGCACCAACAGGAGAACTGAGGACGTGGTGCGGCAGGCGCTCGCAGACTCCGCGGGGGCCTTCAGGCACGTGTCGCTGCACGGCGCGCACACACACGTCTGTGTGGGTGGGGAGCGGCGGTGCAGCGGTTAGCGCGCCGCACTACTGGACCCGGCGACCCGAGTTCGGTTCCCGCTCATGGCCACCAACACCGGTGACGGTTATCCGAACCGGTGCTGGGCCTTATCCTAGGTCGACTCGGCCTCAAATTAGTTACCTGCTGAGATGTGTAAACAAGGGAGACAAAGACGGTCGGGCGTTTGTGCTGGCTATCCACCCACTCGTGCGCCGTGTCGGCTTCCACATGTGCTCGCTTAACAGCACTTGCTCCAAAAGTGTGTGAAGGCTAAACAGGGGATCTTTTGTCTTTGTGATGATACCACACCACGCGTGTGTGTCGCCGCACAAAATACATGTGTCCAGCACACCACATCTTGTATACCTCCCAATATGGCTGCAGTTACGACTCGTCATGTGACACATTCCGGTGTTGATAACTTCATTGAACCCGGAGGGATGGATGCGACGAGTCAACTCCTGAAGCAGGATTTGAACTCTCGCAGCTGCGAGCTCTACCGCTGAGCCACCTGGCCGGATTGCGGAGCATGTGTGTGTGACACCGTGGGTATCTGTGCGCGCGTGTGTGTCATGCTGCTGCGTGCAGGCTGGTGCACATCCTGCCTGAGTGGCGTCGCCGCGGTCTGCCCGTGTTCCCCGGGGCGGAGTGCTGCGTGCGAGCTGACCCGCACGAAGACCGCATGCACGGCTTCTTCGTCGCTCTGTTCGAGAGAAACGTGGGGGGGGGCGGTGGCGTTGATCTCGTCAAACCTGTAGGGTGAGCTCCTCGGTCCCTTCACCGCGAGCACCCTCGCTCTGGGCTCACGTCCGTTATTACGACTGGAGGCCACAAACATACGCTTGCTTTCGCGGCCACGCCACGTAGCTCTCCGATGCGATTTCGGCGTTTGCGACGTCCGACGATCCGAGCGTCGTTTTCAGCGGCTCAGTAGTTCGAACTTAGTCCATCTGGTTGTACTAACTGTGTCGTCTGCTTCACTCGCAGTGGACGTCTAAGATCCCCGTGACGTCATTCGAACAGTCGGCCATTGTGTGCCAACAACACGGTCCAAATTTGTTCCATTTTTTAAAATTACACTGAAAATTACTGAACTGGGATTACACATCACAGCATCACCCCCAACTGTGAAACTACGGCGGACTGTGTCTGTTTAACAATAGCGTCTTTGTCAGGATAGCCTTGCGCGATAACAGTGATAGAGCACATACCGAATGTACATAATTATTGTGATTAATTACTCATGCAAATTATCTGAAAATCTCAAACTGAAATATTTTTTATATGAAACGCAACACGTGCCCTAATGTGTGTCTCTCCCCCAGGGGAGGCAACGGTGGTGGAGATGTTGATACGGCGGTCCCCTCTCTGGAGTTGCGTCGGGACCTCGGTTGTCCCGACGGGCAGGAGAAGGAGAAGGAAGAGGAGGCGAATGGAGGTGGAATGGAGAGCTCGGTGAAGAGCGGTGTGACAGAAGGTGGAAAGACGAAGAAGAAGAAAAGGAACCGAAACAAAAATAAACGGAAGGCGTGTGCGGACAGCACATGAGACGCGTGGGGGGAGTCGGTTGAACTGGAACGAGCCGCCCTGGCGTCCCAGCCCGGAGAGGACTCCTTCACTTCCAGTCCTTAAGAGCTCTCCGCTACTACAACACAGCCTCCCTCTCTGCCACAACACAGCCTCCCTCGCCGCCACACGGCCACAACACAGCCTCGTTCTACCAGGTCCCTCTGCAAGCTGTCGTGTGAGGTTCTGTCTCCAGTTGGTTGTGAGGATTTCGTTTTCGTGATCCGTGTGGTTCTGTCCGTTCTGCTCAAAAATAAAGGTTGGCGCCGCCGGTTGTACCTGCCCTGTGCGATGTCTATCTGCTACTCGGTTGATTGCTGGGCTCGTTGGCGCATATCCTGGGACGTGGCGGCTATGACGGGGCCCGTAGTCCAGTACGTGGAGGCAAGGGTTGGTGGTTCACGTGAAAATCCCTGTGGACGTGGAGGAGGAGCCATACCCTGGCTCGCCAGGGGAAGGCAGTATGGCATATGCAGACTCCACCTGCTCCATCTGTGTGGGATCAAGTGGCCCCCTTGCATGAGTTTTATCTGGGTGCTCCGGTTTCCTCTCGCATGTTAATCATACTCATTAATTGCTTAAACACTCGCAAGATGGCGGTAGCGCCGCTGCAGCTGGCTGCTGACACCACTTGCTCCCACCGTCGGCAAAATATTTCACCCCTCGTCCCTTCCTCATCTCTCCATTCGCCCTCCCCCGTTATCATCTTCAACTCTGTTCTTATTTATTTCGTTTCATTTTCTTTATTACCGTTTTAGCGGCGCCCGTGGTGGCAAAAACCACCGCCCACTCGCCACCCAACCCGTGCCCCCCGCACGCACTGAACGCGCTCCCCAGCGACGCAACAGCTGGCGAAAGCCGGCTGTATTCTCTCTTTTAGCAACAATTAATTTGCTTTAAGTTACTTAATGTGATGAGTTACTTTAACTGCGTGTGGTATTATCTTTGAATCTATGCATCTTTTGAGGAATACCAGTGAAGACAGCTTCATTTGCTTAATTCGGAGTTTCCAATTTTCTGGTTTGAAGAAAAGTATCCTCCCCATAGAGGTTAGCCAGTTCAACACTTAGGCTTTCGTGACCAATATCCATAATGCAGGTTTTTTTGGGTTATATCGTGTAATATATAAATGTGTCGTTAAACCCGCCACCACCCAACACAGCCAACTATTAAGGGTTGTCACGTAAACAGAACATGCCAATTCGTCGCTAGTACAGCACTAACCCGTTGTGTGTTGGAGAGCCAAGCCACAACATTTACAATCGGAGTACGACCTTTCGCCAGTAATTACAACCAGCTTCACCAGGCGACAGCCAGATTTGTGGAGAAGTCCTCTTTCGTTCCTTCAATAGAGGGGGAGATGTGATAACATCACTCGTGTGCTCTTCCGCGAAGTTGGGGGGGGGGGGGTTAGATTAATGAATGCATATAAATTACTATAGATATCCATTGCCGTTTGGGTTATTTATATGGTTAGCAACGTACATTATGCATGCGCATTATGCAAGCCCATTGTTTTTGTACTCCCTGTCGATTGTGTGTTCTGAAATAGCCGTACCAACGGTAATCCCCATTGAAGTACGGTGACCTGTATAGGCATGCATTTCAACAATGTATTATTTGACGATTCGCTTCCAAGTAGCTATCCAAGTTAAGTTATTAATTTCTATAGATTCTCTAATTAGTCTTGGCCAGTAGTAAATAGATTTGCACAGAACTTCAACATTATCAAAATAAATTGAGTGTCCTTGTTGGAACGCGTGTTCTGCCACTGCTTACAGTTGTATTTGGGAGTAATATTTATTTGGTGTTCTTTTAGTTTCGTGCTGGTTAATAGCCTTATAACATCTTACTATGTAGAGAACCACAGAGCTTCAGCCTCCTTTGGGCTAATGGTGTGTTGCTGCACTCATCCGACACGATCAAGGTTGAGCCACGTGGCGTTTATCAGATTGACATTTCAACATGTGCAGTTCTGGATGCAGCCAGTGTCGTTCATAGGACTTTTCTGACGTGCTTGGCAGCTGCCACCAGTTTGAATGGTAACCTTGCATGACTTTCAGCCGGCTCGTGGCCAAAATCGCCTCCAGGAAATAACTGCTACAGACGAGTTCCATTGTGGCTAGGGGGGGAAGGGGCAGGACCTAAACAACAAAGGTGTGGAGTCAACAGCAAGAGGTGGGGCCTCATCAGGAAGGCACGGGGCCTAAAGAGGAAGGGTGTAGGCCGACAGAGGTTTAACTTAATATTTTTTTTACCCTTCTATCTGGCAACAAAACTGACACCTTTTTACAAGGAGTCATGTTTGCATAAACCACAATACCTGCAGTCATAATGCAAACAAAAAACACAACTCTGATAATGTGCACTGTCCTTGAAGTTGATTGGTCCACACCCGAGACAGCTTTCCTTAGAGCCTAGTCTCACATGGGTTGGACCAGATGACGCCAATAGGCGCACAACTAAAAGAGGTTTAACTTCCCTGTTGATTTAAGGTCATAGAAGTGTAGTGCAATAGCGCCGGCTGGTGACCAGCAGCAGCAACTGCGGTGGACAAAGTGCACACGCCGGTGAGCATATACACACGGCTGTGTGTCGGCAGGGCGGAGGAACTGGGACAAGGGTCAAGGAGAGCCCCATCTGGAAGCCCCTGGAAGCTGCTCGTGGGTTCGAGAAGGGAGGCGTGGCCAGGGCGGAGCCAGGCCGCGCTGGGAGCATTAAAGGGGCCGAGAGTGGGAGCTGGGGGGGGCCGGTTTAGGGATTGGATCGTCTCGTCCTTGCTGTCGTCTCGTCGCCATCGTCGCTGCCACCTTCACTCGATATTGCGCTGCTAGATAGCCCGTTAGCTGTCTCGGTCAATGCCGTCGATGTTAGACGGCTCGTGTTGTGTATCGGCTAGCGACTGCAGAGTGTGCAGGCGAGATCGTGGGTGTTCAATAAAGGAGGTGCCTCTACAACCCTCGTTTTCGACTCACTGACACTACAGAAGCATAGTTCTCGTTAGTCAATCTTTAGATATCGCAACTCCTGCATCTGTTTTCGTCTCTCCCCTCGTCTTCAACAGGACTTTGTGTGGGTTTAGACTTTTGTCTGTTTTTGTGTGCCCTATATATTTAACCTTTCCCCCCACTTTCAACCAACTATCCATTGTTAGTATTAAGCCGCCGGTTAAATCGTAATTCAATCTTGTCACATCGATTTAATCGACTTAAAGCACGGCATAATACGTTTAACGCTGAAATGTCATCATCTTCACCAACCCACTGCTGGATGGATACATCTCAC